AAGAGAAGAAGAGAAGAGAAGAGAAGAGAGAGAAGAGGAGAGGAGAGGAGAGGAGAGGAGAGGAGAGGAGAGGAGAGGAGAGGAGAGGAGAGGAGAGGAGAGGAGAGGAGAGGAGAGGAGAGGAGAGGAGAGGAGAGGAGAGGAGAGAGAAAAGAGAGAAGAGAAAGAATGCATTTATATGTTTGTTTTAACTTTATAGAGTTTCAGACTATACGTAACTTAATAGGATTCGATTTTTTCACTTTTTGCCATAATTCATTCATTTTGTTGCATAGTGTATTGTTGTGGTTCATTTGTTTTTATTGCTGCATAGAACTCCATAGAACATCATTGGATGAATGCACCATATTTGTCATCTACTTTCCCTTTGATGAGCATGTGGGTTTGTGAGCACAGAGCTCCTGAAACCCTTGTAATTTCTTAGCGGATAGAGCACTGGGAGCATCTTTTGTTCTACTGAGGGGACTCTGGGTGGGTTCCTGATTGGCTCCTGCTGGGGGCTGAAAGACAGGGCCCTGGTTGGAAGCTTGGGATTTTCAGCCCTATATCCCATCCTCCAGATTGGGAGGAAGAGAAATGGTGTCAATAACTGATAGTGTTTATGTGTGGAAGCGCCCATTAAATCCCTAGAATATGGGGTTCAGAGAGCTTCCAGATTGGCGAACACATCCACACTGGGAGGGAGACACACCCCGACTCCATAGGATCAGGAGCTCTTGAGCTAGGGACCCTCCCAGACCTCACACTAGGTATCTGTTCATCTGAATCCATTAATAAACTAGTAAATGTGAGTGTTTGCCTGATTTCAGTGAGCCACTGTAGTAAATTAGTTGACCCCAAGAAGGGGGTATTGGAACCTCTGATGTTGGCATCTGAACAGGGAGCAGTTTTGTGGTACTGAGTGCTTCACCTGTGAGATCTTGATGCTGCCTCTGGGTAGGTAGTATCAGAACTGAGTTGAATTGTGGGATACCCAGCTGGCGACAGGGAGAACTGCTTGGTGTGAGAAAAAAACACACAACAACAACCATATCTGGTGTCAGAGGTATTGTAAATGAGGTCAAACTGTGAAAGAAAAGGAGACACACAAAAGACATGGGAGGGAAAAACGGTGATTCTTCTTACAATTGGAGACTAGCATTTCTAGTCTCCTTGTCTATTGGCTTTTGTTTTATATTTTCCTTTTATTTTTGTCTTTTACTTCCTTCTGAAGTACTTCCTCAACCTGATCTTTTATCCATTCTACTGTATTCATTCTGCCAGCCAGTTATTTTTCAGATTTAACACTCCTCCTTTGTTCCTTTTGTGGCTTATTGTTCTTCCTTCGCCTTGTTAATAATCATTCTTTATTATTTATCTTTTTTATTATATCTACTAGAGGCCCAGTGCACAAAATCTGTGCTCTGGAGGGGGCCCTCAGCCCAGCCTGGGCCCTCTCACGGCCCAGGACCCCCGGGGACCAGGCCTAAGCTGGCAGTCAGGCATCCTTCTTGCAGTCTGGGGCTCTTACAGTCCAACACCTCTTGTTCCTTACTGCCCACCCAAGGTGGAGGTGGGAGAGGCTCATGCCACCAGCCACCTCTGCTGGCCAGCTGTGAGCTTGGCTTCTGGCTAATAGGGGTGGGGTACTGCAGGGGGGAACTCAACTAGAAACTGGGCTCGCTGCTTCTTAGTGCTGGCCCCACCCCCGCCCATTGGAAGAGGGGCAATCTGGGACCAGGCCAGCTGGGAGAGGGGCTGAGGGAGGTGCAGTACCAGGACCAGGCCACACTGCTGCCTCAGTGGCTGCCTCTGCAGAGGGGTGGACACACAGCCCCCTCTCCTGTTGCCTCTGCAAGAAGGGGCCGCAGTGCTGGGACAAGAGGCTAGGCAGCTTCACCTGGGCCATCCGCAGGCACCTGGGACCCGGCTTTGTCAGGAAGGATGTCCAGAATGATGTCTGGTTTATCCAGTCTAATTAACATATTATGCTTTTATTAGTATAGATTATAAAAAATTTTTGGTTCTATTCTAATATTCTCCTTCTTTTATATCTATAACCTAATCTGCTGTTTTCTTTTCAAATGACTGAGCTGTCTTAGATGTCTTGTAATTTGAGCCTCGGAGGGAGCTCACTTTGCCCCGGGGTTATTGGCTCATCTGCCAGTCAAGGTCCAGTAGGAAGGGCAGACCTCATTTTCTATCAGCCACAGTTACACCAGAGGTGGGAAATGATGTACCTCTGGATATAGAATCCAAGAGACACACACACACACACACACACACACACACACACACACACACACACAACATAATAAGTCATCTTTTCCTCCAAAATAAGTCATCTTTTCTTCAGGTCAAGTTTCTCTTATTTGTTCCCCAAGCAGCAATAGCATTAAGAGTAGATAATTTTTAGATTATAATTTCCAAAACCTCAGAATACAGCCAGTTTTAAGGATGTGTGATCCATGCAGTCACACAGGGCCTCATGCTCCATGGGTTGGTTTAATGGTCTGCTGTCCCTCCTGAGATGTGAGCAAAGAGCCCAGCTTCTCATTTTGCACTAGACAGACTCATCACAAGTGAGGATGTAAAAGAAGAAAAATAATAAGTCATCGGATTTAGGAAACAAGTGATCCAACTTAAGTGAATGAAATTCCTGGGATGATGAAGAGAAATTCCTGTGCAGCAAAAATGGATAGCATCAGTTTTCCTGGATCAGAATGATGAAATTTTAGGAGGAACATTTCCAAGGAACAAAAACAAAACAATAAATTACCAATACATTTGAAATTGTTGAGCTAGAATGCTAAGTGTTTGAACTTAGTGATTTAAAATATTAAGTATTTCAACTTACTGATCTAGAATGTAAGCTTTATGAGGGCAGTAAGTAGCACATAGTAGTAGATACTCAGTATATATAAATTTGAAGACCAAAATCTAGCAGAAAATGTGATATGATATTAGCGTTCAATCATTCAGTGCTGCTTTTGAGCAGGCATTTTTTTTTATTTTTTAAAATATATTTTATTGATTTTTTACAGAGAAGAAGGGAGAGAGATAGAGTTAGAAACATCGATGAGAGAGAGTCATCAATCAGCTGCCTCTTGTACAACCCCTACTGGAGATATGCCCGCAACCAAGGTACATGCCCTTGACCGGAATCGAACCCAGGACCCTTCAGTCCCCAAGCCGACGCTCTATCCATTGAGCCAAACCGGTTTTGGCTGAGCAGGCATTTTTTTTTAAACCTAGGATAAATAATTGTAAAACTGATCTATTTCTGTGGAATGTGGGTAGAAAAACCTAACTGGGATGTGCTACCTAGACTATCTGCTTTTCCCCCCAGACATTTTAGTAGCTGAAATGGCCACGTGACATAGTTCTAGCTAATGATTGAGTAAAAATCCAAAGTGTATAAAGTACACTCCCTTTCCTCAAAGAGGAAGCTCGGTAGGGACACACCCCTCTCTAACATAATAAACATTCCTACATGCAATAAAATGCTATAAACATGACTATTTCTGCTTGAGAATGATGGGAAAGGTAGCATTTGAGCTTGCTGTTCACAGATTCACAGATTTCTGTTGGTGGGACAAGGTAGTCTGGAATGGAAGAGACAAGCCTGGATGTATTCAGGAAACTGGAATTCTGCCAGAAGGAAAAGGGATGAGAAGGAAAAGTAACCACATTTCCCTTTTGGTAAGGTAATTCTTACGGTAGTGTAGGAGTATATTAGAAGCAGAGGACAGAGGAAGAAAGGTCTCTGAGGAACCTCTCAGTGGCACATATAATACCTTAAAAAAAAAGAAAAAAGAAAAAAAATAGTCTCAGTGGGAGGAGAAGGCTTAATGGAGGGCAGTCACAATAAAAACTAAAATAAGGGAACTGAGGAACACTTCTGAGTTGACAGGACTTGATACATTGAATTTTGGGATGTAGGGTATAGTTTAAGAAATGCCTCCAGTTTTCTAAAGGGCAAAAAATCAGATATTTATGGAACACAAATGGTATACCGTGGAGTTAAATGTGATTTTTTTTTTTTTTTTAGTTTGTTAGGTTCCAAAAGTTAATAACAATATAACAAGTACCAAGAACACCAATGCCTTTAACACAAGGTACTAGGTCATGCTGAAAGATCAGAAAATAGGGGAGTGCTAAGAGATTATAAAACTGGTTTTTCCAATGTTAGCCTATCTTATTCCTTGAGGCTATACAAGGGAAAGAAAAGAACTCATTGATAAATTGCAGAAGAGTGCAATAAGGATCCTTTTGGAGTAAGTTGTATACATGCTTGTAGGAAACAATTCCCCCCACCCCTGCCAGCTCCAACACACTCTCCGTCCTGGCATTGGTCCCTGTCCTAGCAGAAGGGAGGAAGAGGAAGACTTCAAGAGTGTATGTGGCGAGCTCTCCCTGCAACCCGGGAGTCCGGGGTCACAGGAGCTGGCACCCCGTTCAGCTAACGGCCAAGAGATGTGGTTAGCTAGGTGGTCCGGCAGCAGAGAGATGCTATGTTAGCTAGGCATGCACTTTCAGCATTTGCTGCAGGGGAAAGGATGAGTGCGTTCCCCAGGAACCCTCTATGGACCCTGTGAGAATATCAGAGCGATGCATTTAATTTTAAGAACGCTCTGCCTCGTGAGATCTGTCTTTAGACACTTCGCTACGCTTCCTGTGACCACCCATCTCCTTTACGTTTTGCTTTCCATCTTCTCTTGATCAAGCGCACGTGGGAAAACTACATTGAGCTGTAACAGCCGTCACATCAAGCGCTGTCATCGAGTAGATGCCTCCGGGTGCTCGGAAGCGCGCAGCTCGCGGCCAGTTGGCGAAGGGACTAAGTGTGAGCCGCTCGGCACCCGTAGCTCCGGTTCCCAGGACCAGACACCGGAAGTGGCGGTGCCGGGCCCGCGGCTTCTTAGGGAATGCCGATTCCCGCCGCTCCCCGGCGGCCGTCCGCGAACCCTCAGGAGTCCGCGAACCCTCAGAAGTCTGGGAACCCTCAGAAGTCTGGGGACATGGAGGCGGCGGGGAAGTTCATAGTGGTGGGCGGCGGCATCGCGGGCGTGTCTTGTGCGGAGCAGGTAGGGCGGGCGCGCGGCTCTGCGCCTTCCTAGACCCCGGGGAGGGCGGCGCTCCGGGCTCATCTCCCGCTTCCCACCCTCGTCATCCCCAGCAGGTGGAAAGCCCGGGCCTCCTACCTGGTCCCTCTATAGGCGATTTCCCCCCATCCCCGCTTTCTTTCCCGCTTGTTCCCAGGTATTGAAACTGCGCAGTGGCCCTCGATGTCCTCAGGGCCTCGCAGGCTTCACCCGAGGCGCCTAGCGGATTTGGGGGGGGCGGGGGCCGGGGGCAGTGGGGAGAGAGCAAGTTGTTAGGATAAGGTGACCAGACGTCCGCTCCTGGCGGGACAGTCCCGATTTTTAACCATGTGTCCCGCTTCCCGCGGCGTTTTCCCGTTTTTTCCCCAAAAGTCGGGACTTTTTTTTTTAAAACGTTGCGGGAAGCGGGACACATGGTTAAAAATCGGGACGTCTGGTCCCCTTATGTTAGGACCGGAGGCCTTGTCGCTAGTGAGGCACTGAGAACATTCAGCCCCTTTGTCAGCTGGTGATCGAAGGCAGCTTCCACTTAGGTGCCAGGTCCTTGGTGCATCGGAACGCTTAGCTACGTTTCCTGCACTTTGAACTCCCAAGATGGAAGATATTTCATCTCTAGTCATGTTTTATAAAACAACCCGCAAGGTGTATGCGGGATGCAGCTAGGGAATGCGTTTCTGCTTATAGTAATGAGACCATCTGTATCTATATACCTATATGTATTTTAATATTCCCAATGGGACTGAATTATCTTGAAGTAAACAATCTCAGAAGTAATAAGAAATGGTACAAGAAATTCAAGACATTTAAACTTTTAATCATATATATATATAAATACACACACACACACACACACACACACACACACATATACGTATATATAATTGATTTCAGAGAGAAAGAGAAACATCAATGATGGGTGAGAATCATTGATTGGCTGTCTAGGCCCCCTACTGGGGATCAAGCCCACAACCCGGGCATGTGCCCTGACTGGGAACCAACCCAGGACCTCTTGGTCCATGGGATGGATGACTCTAAATCCACTGAGCCATCACAGCTGGGCTAAACTTTTAATATTAAGATGTATTTTTCACTCATTCACCAAGTCAACACCTGTGATCCAGGCTCTGTACTAAGGGCTGATTCGTGAGATATGAGCAGCATGGTACCTTTGTAGGGATTCACAGCCTAGCGGAGAGGCATGTAAATAAATCATTTCACTTGTGTGTTTGCTCTCTTAGGGGTGCCAGCTGAGTTGGTAGGGAGTAAATGAGGGAAGAGGTATCCTTTCTCCAAGGAGATACACTTTTGTCTCAGTTGTAGAACAAGGAGTAAAATTCACCCCTTAAACAAGAAAAGACAGATGTTCCAAAGGGAAGCATAGCATCTTCTGGGAGCAGCAAAACTTAAAGCACTTGGTGGAGGTGACCAGAGATGGAAGCCAGGGAAGGTTGGCAGAGACCAGATTATAAAGGATCTTATAAGTCATGCTAAAAACTTACCAGGAACTTACAAATAGGTGATTTTGAGCAGGGGAATAATGCGATTGAATGAAAAAGTTTAAAAGCTGATTAGTTATGATGTGTGGGACAGGAATAGCTGGTTAATATGAGACTGGAAGGCCAACTGAAAAGTTATTTTAATAGCATAAAGAAGTTTTGAGGGCCTGGTCTAGCAATGGAAACAAAGCAGAGGGAGCCCTAGCTCATTTGGCTCAGTAGATAGAGTGTTGGCCTGCACTCTGAAGGTTCCTGAGCTCGATTCCAGTCAAGGGATCATGACTGGGTTGTGGGCTCCATCCCCATTAGGGGGTGCGCAGTAGGCAGCCAATCAATGATTCTCGACGTTTCCATCTCTCCCTTCCTTCCTCTCTGAAATCAATTATATATATATGAAAAATTACAGAATACACAAAGGAAAGAAAGATAGGGAGAGTGGTGATATTGTCAGATACTGTAGAAAGTTAAAATAAGGTGATACTAAAAAAATTCTATGGGTTTTAAGGATGTCTAGTTGAATTGAACACGCTCAGTTTTAATAGTGTAAAAGTAAAGCATCAACCAGACTGTCAAATTACAGCAGAAAGGTTAGGGAGAGGTGGGGGAGATAAGAGATCAACTGAAGGACTTGTATGCATGCATGTAAGCATAACCAATGGATGCAAGACACTGGGGGTGAGGACATGTATGGGGGGAGGAGGGGGCAATGGGAAGATATGTACACATGTTATACCTTAATTAAAAAATGGGGGAAAAGAGATAGAAATAGAGATTGGTGGAGTTGAACTAGAGCATGAGTTAGGAAAATGCTTGCAAGAAGTGTAAAATGAGAAAGAGGTTTGAAGCTAGAGGAAATCATGAAACAATGGCAGGTGAGAAAGAAGTTTGAAGCTAGAGGAAATCATGAAACATTAAAATGGCTTGGTCTTCCCAGGGTATCTGCTGGTTGGGCATTTGGAAGAGGCAGGATGGGGGTGCCAAAGCACTTGGGAAAAGGACTAAGATTCTAAATGTTTATTATTAAAGGATTGCTGTCATTTCATCCTACTGAAGGCAATGAAAATATTTTACAGTAGATAGAAGTTGGATTGACTGTTAATTAGGAAGATAATTTCTCCTTACCCTTGGCATGTAAAATAGGTTCAGTAAATAAGGAATACCTCTTTATGCCACTTTTCTTATCAGATCTCTTTTAGTATTTAGTATAAATGTATTACTCATTTTAATCAATACCACAGTATTGAACATTACTCATCATTACCCTATAAATACGAACAAGATTCAGGATAATGGAAACTTTAGATAACGAACAATGATTTGTTTCCTAGGTTAATAATTTTATTAAAATTGCACTATCCCTTTCTTACCCTCCATGTCATATGTACTAATAACTAAAATTATTTATATTTTTCCTACTTTTTTTTTTTTTAATAAGTTGGCAATTCACTTCCCGTCAGAAGAGATTCTCCTGGTAACAGCTTCTCCTGTTATTAAAGCAGTTACAAATTTCAAGCAGGTAAGAATCTTTGTATAACTTCCTTACTATTAATTTTTAAAAATTGCAGTATCTTGCATAACACGTAGTGTAATTGTACTGTTTTAATTTTTTAAAATGACAAATGTTCTTTGGATGTTCATTTTAAAATTGTAGTTCAAAGTTTAGAATTATTCAGATTGAATACCAAAAGCACCCAGAATGATGTTGCATTTCTAGTCGTCTCTTTTTTTTCCTCCTATCATTTCCCTCCCACTCTGAATTACTTTTCAGAAAATTTAAAATAAGGTTCTTTTGGGGAAAGTTGCTATGAAATCTAAATATTAACGCAAATATATCCGTATGTATATTTTTATTATAAATATATGTGTGCATGTGTATTTACAAATCAGAAGTGCTTCTGAGCCACGTTTACACTTGTAGATAATTAATGTTGCATATGTCTAATAAGCATCTCAGAATACTTTGTAGTTTCACAAATTTCTATTACAATTATAATAGGAGTCTAAGATCTTTTGGGTCATAGTATGATAGAAGAGTAGTCTCTACAAACACTTTTGATCCAGGAAACTAAGGCAGGGACCTAACAGACTTGCCCAAGAGTGGTAGTCTTAAAATGCAAAATCTTCTTTCCACTGTATTTTGTGTAGTTCACCAACTTTCTTGCTTTATGAACATAAAATAAGTAACGTATAGGTAAAAATGGAACTATTTTTATTATTTAAATTCTTGAAAAAGTTTTTAACATGTGTTCTTAACTCTTTGATCTAATATAGATTTCTAAGGTATTGGAAGAGTTTGATGTTGAAGAACAACCAAGTACCATGTTAGAAAACCGCTTTCCCACCATTAAAGTTATAGAATGTGGAGTAAAGCAACTGAAGAGTGAAGAACATGTAAGAGAATTTTTCCTTAATGTCGTTCTGCTCTGTTAAATCTTGGTGAGGTTTTTGCCTGACTTCCTTTGAACCCTCCTCTACCACCGCCAAAGTCCCTAGCGTGCAAATTTTGTAACATTGATTTCCATTACTAGAAAAATTTTGTGAGTTTATTGGGATTGTACAATTAGTTTAGTTTTGCCATTTAAATTTTAATTTCAAATTAACATTGACATTTATATAGTGTCCACTGTTTTCTGGGCCCTACATTAAGTGGTAGGCACCATAATATAAGGAATAAGCTATAATGTAAGGAATCTATTCCTGGGAGCTCTCAATGTCATAGAGAATATAGACAGGCATACCTATAATTATATGGACATGTGAAAAGCACAGTCATTGAAATATTATCAAAGCTCTGCTAGTAGATATTTAGGAAGACTTCATAAATTGAGTAATACTTGAACTGTGTTTTAAAATATGAGTGAATTAATAGTTAGTGAATTGATAGATGCAAAGGGCATTCCAGGAAGAGATTGCATCTTCAAAGACCAAAAGAAACAGAAAGGGGCATGTGGAACAGTGAGGTGGTCAGTGGGATTTGGGCGGGGCTAAGTAAAGGAGATTGGCAGACAGGGCCTGAGAAATAAGTAAATAAGATTGTGAAGAGCTTTTTATGTCATGCTAAGAAATTGAGTTCAGTTTCTAATTAATGAAAAAAATAGTAGAGATTTTACGTGGAAGCAGGGATGATGAAATAGATGTTCTTTTAAGAAGATATATAATAATCTGAATAAAGATTTAAAAAAGGAAGAAGATATATCTGACAGTAGTGTCAAGAATGAGTAAGTGGCTAGTAGCCAACAACTAAATTAGAAGGGGTTTGCAATAGTCCAAAATGATATAAGGCCAAAACCAAGGCAGTGTGAGGAATAAGGCAATCTCAGAAAATGATATTATCAGGTGATTAACAATATCCTCAAATGAGCTTTAGGCAAGATGTAAAATAGAGTTTGTACTTGTTTCTCAAAAGCACCTGTAATTTATGATATCTCCCTCAGTGATAAAACACATCACATTTGATAGGAAAAAAAATTAAGAAAAGTTTTATCAGAAAATAATGAAAAATCTGAATCAAAAAACCAGAATAAGTTCTAATACTTACAGTGGTAGTACTTACTCATTGTAACATCCATGTGAATTAATTTGCAAATTTAAGTAGGCTTAAAAGGATACTAATGAGTTGTGAGGAAATTTCACATTAGGACATTTGAATGAATTAGAGCGCTACCCATTAACATTTGAAAAGTTAAATGAAAAGTCCCACATGAGGTATATGCCTGCATTCTCTTATCCATCCTTTATATTCTTTAGTGAATTAGAAATAATGTGTTTTATCTTCATTTCTACTTTCAAAAATTTAACATTTGCTAATAAAGAGCTTTTGTGTTTGTTTTCATAGTAGCTAAATGAAAATTTATTTTTAAAATTTGGTCAAAGCCTATAATAAGTCTTCCTTTCATGAAGGAAGACTTGCATGAAGTTTCTATATGGATTACACTGTTGGGTTATTGATTTTATGTATTTGTTATGCAGCTAAAGAGTTAGCATGGGTGGCAGATGTCTCAATGGGTAATAAGTGCTGTGTTATGATTTGCCAAGTTTTATGATTCAAACACATGGCACAAAAGTTAACCCCTAAACCATTATAATGAAATCCAGCATCTCTTATGTATGCCTGCTTTCTAAATGCTGCTGCTAATCTATAGATTTTCTTCAATATTAAGAAACAGAAACATTTGTTTTAGACTCATGAGGTTATTAAAAATTAATATAAATATCTTTAAAGCCAGTACATGCTGGATTTAAGTTTAACTAGTTTGTCACTTAGGTGAAAATATAATCCCCAAAGAGTGTATAGTTGGCTGGGAGAAAGGCTAGTTTTCATTAGACCCGCAAAATAATTGATGGCCCTAAAATGATTAAGAAACACTGAATTGAAGAATGTATTCTTATGCTTACTTAGCTTTGTATTTACTGGGACAAAGTGTTGAATGCTATCAAGAGGCAAGGTTATTATACTTTTTGCTTTTGTGTTTTTGACTGTTTAAAGTGAAATTGTACACACGTATAAATGCGTCTCCTTGTCCCTTCATTGCTTATGTTTTTACAGTGCATTTTAACAGAAGATGGCAGTCAGCACGTATATAAGAAACTCTGTCTGTGTGCTGGAGCTAAACCAAAGTTGATATGTGAAGGAAATCCTTATGTATTAGGAATCCGTGATACAGATAGTGCTCAGGTAATACTTTGGGGTTGGGTCATGGGGAATAAACATGAATATTTTTTTTCTTAGACATCTTTTGCTACATTTGAATCAAAGTGTTTCACTTACAGTGCTAATTCCTAAACTGTAGGAGCAGAAAGGAGGTTTTTTGTTTTGTGGCCCATAAACCAGAAAGTAGCTATAAGGTTCTATTATTGTCAATTTTAATTTGTTTTCAGTTGATAATTTGTCTTGTTTTTTATTCATGGTGATGTTCTATTTTCTTTCTGCTATATGATGTCCCAAATTTAATGACTCTGCTGAAGGGTACAGCTTATATTGTGCACACACTTATTCTTGTGATTGGGAATATGTGATTTATAACCTAAATAATATAATGATCTCTTCCCCAAAAGAATTAAGCATATCCAAAACTTACTGAACTTACTCCCCAGCAAAGAAATTAATATTCAGAAGATCTTTGTGGTACAGAATTATGACAGACTCTAAAACCAGAAAAGTCACTCGGTTTATTGTTCTGCTTAAGTGATAACTATCCCAGTAAGGTGAAACTCTATTGTGGAACCTTATACAACTTGTTTTGCTAATTTATTTCAGGGTTTGTTGACCTTATTGCCAAGAAGTTCTTCCTGATTTCAAATCACAATACTCTGTCTTACTTCAAGTTCCTTGTTGTTCTGTCCCATGAGGTGATCATTTTACACTTATGTAACAATATTTTGTGTCCTTGAAAATTGATAGTTTACTTTCAAGCTATTCTTAATTAAATAATTAGGAATTTAGAGAAAACTAGAACTTGGTTATCTTTTAAAAAATATATTTTATTGATTTTTTTTTTACAGAGAGGAAGGGAGAGAGAGAGCCAGAAACGTCGATGAGAGAGAAACATCGACCAGCTGCCTCCTGCACACCCCCTACAGTGGATGTGCCCGCAACCAATGTACATGCCCTTGACCGGAATCGAACCTGGGACCTTTCAGTCCGCAGACCGATGCTCTACCACTGAGCCAAATCAGTTTTGGCAAGAACTTGGTTATCTTTTAGTAAACATTTTGGATTCATGTTACCAAAGATTGCATTCATGACTGGATTCCAGCAAGCCCAGCAAGCCCTCTACATACATGAACTCATTGAATCCTCATGATAATTCTATGTGAGAGTCATTACTGCCACTCTACAAATAGGTCATTGAAAATGAAGTATAATCTCCAAAGTAATTTATCATTACTAAGGTAGTTATTAAACTGTATCAGAAGTACAGTTCAAACTCATGCCATTCATCTCCATATCCAGTACTCTTTATGGATCTTTCTTAAATTATCTACTGCCCTCAATGAAGGACAAACTAAAATTAACCTAAGCATTGTTTTTTTGTTGTTGTAGAAATTTTAGGTCAGCACGTATATAAGAAACTCTGTGTACTGGAGTTAAACCAAATTTCATTGGTTATTTATTGAATATTACAATAAGTTTTGGGGTCAATTTAAGAGAAATGGCAACTTAACATAGTAGGCAGAGGAACTGAGCTATTCAGACGTCATCCTGAAGCAATAGTAGTATTCTGTACTTTTGAACATCTAAGAGTGACCCACTGGCTTTTCTCCAAGTACATTGTGATCTTTTTAAGGAGGGTGGTGGTAGTAATTAGCTGCCTTATAATGGTACATTTTAAAAAATAAATGGTGGACATTATTATGTGTCTGCTACTCCTAACAGTCTTATCTACATCATCTTACTTAATGCTTACAGAAACCTCGAGATTTAGTCACTTCTTAATTCCATTTATAGTTGAATGTGAGGTACCAGAGTATAAGCAATTTGTTCATCATCCCCAGTAATAGTATCTGCCAGAGCCAGTTCCTCTAGTGTTCGTGCTCTTAACCACTATGCTGCTGTGGCCCTCATCCTGCAAGTTTTAAGTGCTGAGTGACTGCAGAGAGTATCAACTGAGGAACTAGAAGAGGAAGAATCCTGTATCTAGGATATAGATCAATGTTATATTAGTAAATTGATTTGGTAAATAGTTGGGAATTTAGTAAAATAAGACAGGGCCTCCTGCTGAAATTCTGAAGTAGTACTCTAAATGTAGGGAGATCTGGGGGAGATAAGAGATCAACCAAAGGACTTGTATACATGCATATAAGTACAACCAATGGACACAAAACTCTGGGGGGGGAGGGTATGTTTTTGGGGGATGGGCAATAATAAGATATGTACACAGATAATAATTTAATAAATAAATAAATAAATAAATAAATAAATAAATAAATAAATAAATAAATAAATGTAATGACATAAAAATAAGGAAAGTCAGGAGAGGCAATGTAGGGTGAAACAGAGAATTTGTATTATTAATTGGAGGGTGCATCCCGAAAGAGTGGGAAAGTGATATTTATTATCAGAGAAGCCTCTTGCTTCCACTATTGCCCCCTATATAAAACTCTGTGTCATTTTCTTTTTAATACAGGAATTTCAGAAACAGCTTACGAATGCTAAAAGAATCATGATCATAGGGAATGGTGGTATTGCACTTGAATTAGCGTAAGTATATATTTTTAAAAATTGCTCTGTGATTTATGTGTTTGTTGGCAGACTAGAAAAGATCTTGTTATCCTGAAAATCATAGATAATATTATTGTTTTTATATTTTTTCAAGAACAGAAATCCAATTAATTATTTTAGCTTTCATGGGATACATATTTGCAGAAATATTGTTAGAAAACATGAGTTTAGGCAGTGCTTTAGGTGTCAAAGGGTCATTAACTGGTAACTGGCTAGATTTGACCCATCCTATATAATAAAAGCCTAATATGCCAAGTGTCCAACTATATTTGACAAGTAGCTATGATGTGCACTGACCACCTGAGGACAGACGCTCTGACTGGTAAATTAGCTTGCTGCTGGGGTCCAGTGATCAGGACTGAGTGAGATGGGCCAGACATATCCTGGAGCCCTCCCGAGGTTCCTCCCCGGCCCCAATCGTGCACTGATGGGGTTTCTCAGTCTGGCCTGTACCCTCTTGTAATCCAGGACTCCTCAGGGGAATGTTGGAGAGCTGGTTTCAGCCCGATCCCCCCAGGGCAGGCTGAGAGACCCCACCAGTGCACAATCCATGCACCAGGCCTCTAATGAACTATATTAAAAAAGAATTTGAATGTGTACAACTTTAGAGATTCTAGTCATAATCCTCATCATTTTTTATTGCTTAATACCCATCCTGTTTCAATCGGTTATGTTATGTGAACACATTAATGAATATGAAATCTTATTTAAAAATATTTCAAGTTCAAAAATCATCAAAGACTCCTCTTGTAGTTTTCAGAGCATTAATTCACTTTCTTTGTGATTTTATCTTCCAGCAGGTAGCTGACATGAAATAGTATGGGCATTTTTCAGATTAGAAAATTGGGTCCAATTATAGATAGGACAAATTTATATTAAAATAAGGAATCTGTTCAAGCCCCGTCTTTGCTCAATTTCATTCATTCTAACTCTCAGACTAGGTTTTGTCCCACTTTTTTAGAGGATGTTGAATACCATTGAAAGCCTTTAAGAGTTCTTCAATTGCCTGAGTACCAGGAATGACAGTCATTATTATAATTATGAATTTTGTGGCAGCGTGAAGGGAAATACAGAGGAAAAAATAGAGCATCAAAACCAGACTGGGCCTTAAGGGAGGAGGCACAGATGTAAGAGAGGCTTCAAATTCTTATACACATGACAAATTTTCTCCATCACCTGTTGCCAAAACTATAACTTAGTACTATTATTATTTACAGTGAAATGCTTTCTTACCTTAAAAAATATTTAAATTCTCACATTTGATCTTATTTCTTTTGTAATATTATTTAAATATTAATATAAAATATCTGTTACCAAATAGTAACTATTCTCAGTATGGTAGCTGTGTATCATCCATCCATCATCCATTACAGTGTAATGATTACACTATAACCAGATAAAGCATTTCTCATTCCTAGGAACCCTGCAGACATTAAATAAAAACTGAACACTTTGAAATGATATTTATTGTAATAAAATTTTACATGATGTCCAGTATATATATTTGTCACTTATATGTTCTTGATAAACTGGTTACATTCCTTTCATTATTTATTCTATTTTAACTCTTATCCTGAAAGAGTGTTACATTCCTCTTTATGATCGTTTTTTCTGGGTTTGCCTCAAAATACTTTACTTGTGCCATAGGAGGGAATTGTTATTCGCAAGTACAAAGATTTCTACTCATACTTTTGAAATTGTTCTAAGTAACTTTAATATTCCTTCTAGGTATGAAATCGAAGGGTGTGAAGTAATTTGGGCCATTAAAGATAAGGCTATTGGGAATACTTTCTTCGATGCAGGAGCAGCTGAATTCTTGACCTCAAAGCTCATTGCTGAAAAACCAGAGGCTAAAATTGCACATAAAAGAACCAGATATACAACTGAAGGTAAATATAGAACCTGACTCATTAATTCACAGATAAATCTCTATCTTTTTAACCATATAGAAAAAGACTATAAGAAAATTTAGTAAAATATATTTGGGTGCTAAGAATATAGATAAATATTTCTATATATCCTTATGTGACTGTTTAGATTTTCTAGACTTTATATATTTATGAAAAATATGTATAATTAAAATGAAATTTAAAGTGAATTAAATAAACCAGTCCATCTGCATCTTTGTAAACAGATGCTACAATTAGATAAGACCTAAGGAAATTTTATAAAAATGCAATGAGTTTGAAAGCAAATACAAGCTTCATGACTTTTTAGATTAAAGAGGTTTAAAAAAAAACAAACACAAAATTTGGTCAGATGCCAAAAACTGACCAAATTCAAAATCTGTCGGCTAATATTCTTACCCTTTATATTAACCAGTGAATATAACATCCTAAAAACACTATGTTTATACTCAATACTCGATTGAAAGATTATCCATTTTATATCTCTACATCACAAAATATTAAAATAAATAACATTATTAATACAGGTGACTTTGTTTCATCATTTGGTATGTACTTATGCATGAGAATCATTATATTGCCTAAAAGCTGCAGAACAAGCATAATTATCTGCCTGGCAATTTTTATATCATTTGCATTTTGAATTGAGTTTATCTCTTCAGGAAAGAAAAAGGAAGCAGGAAACAAAATTAATGCTGGTAATATAGGCAGTGCCTTGGGACCTGATTGGCATGAAGGCTTAAATCTTAAAGGAACAAAAGAGGTATGATTTCTTATATTAATTAAACATGTCTAAATGCCATTTTAAATTCTTGAACCATTTTTTGAAGACTGGTTACAAATATGTAGTCAAAGAATAGCTAGGTCCCTTTCCTTAAACTCCATAGTGCTAAGAAAGGAGTTGGCCTACATGCCCACCAAACGTAGGTGAATATTAAACTCATCTAAAACTCACTCTCTGCCTTCTAACTCCCCAGAGGTAAAGATTGCCACACACAGACCACAGTGAAAACACCTGTCCTATTTTAAATTAATGTTTTCTCAAAGGTTACTTCAGATGCATTTCAGTATTTTAAAGGTTAATAGGTAGATTCTAAATAAAATACTTCTCTTTTAGTTTTCTCATAAGGTTCACATTGAAACTATGTGTGAAGTAAAGAATATCTATCTTCAGAAGGAATTTAGACTCTCTAAGAAAAAGTCCTTGACATTTCCAAGAGACCATCATAATGAGTTCGTTACAACTGATAAAGGTAAGTGATAAAATTAAAAGATACTTAACTTATTTAAAAGGAAGACAGCTTATTTTTTATTATTATAACTAGAGGCCTGTTGCACCAAGCGGGGGGAGGAGGGATGGAAGGGGACTAACGGGTGTTCAGCCTGGTTTGCACCCTCCTGCAATCCGGGACCCCTCGGGGGATGTAGCAGTGTGGTAAAGCCCCGGCCCACTGCACCTGCCAGGGCAGCTAGGTAGCACTGCCGCAGAGTTGAGAGTTTGGGAGAGGCTCCCACTGCTGCAGCTGCGCATGCCAGCTACAAGCCCAGCTTCTGGCTGAGCAGCGCTCCCCCTATGGAAGCACACTGACCACCAGGGGGCAGCTCCTGCATTGAGCATCTGTCCCCTAGTTGTCAGTGCATATCATAGCGACTGGGCGTTCCGGTCTTTCCGTCCTAATGGTCACTTAAGCTTTTATATATATAGATTAAAAACCAACTTCAGACTTCCATATAAAATTTAAATATGCAAAGTAAAAATAAAGTGATAATTTAATAAGTAATCTCATTTTTACAACGTAAAGTTTTGTAATAAATTGTGTAAGGCTTTACTCACCGTTTTGACTGTCATAACCCTGTGAGTCAATCAGAATATCTTACAGATCAAAACAAAACAAAAACTAAAAACCTGATTTTCTCAGAGGTGAACTAACTTCCCCAAAATCAAACAGGCTGAAAATGTATAAATTTAGAATTAAGACACTGTTCCACTCTTGTGAGAATGTCATTTGAAGAAAAACACTCAGCCAAGCCTAGTGTATGAGATATTCTAGTTCTAAATTATTTGAATTTTTCCATAGGAAAAGAGAAAGTTTGAGTATGAACAGTAAGGGACAACATTGAAAAGTGAATAACCTAGTTGGACTAAACCCTAGAGGAGTATACTCTATTAATAAAGATTTTTAAAGAAATAATTTGTAAAATGATTATCAATTTAAATTTACTTGGTTAGATTTCTGTGTCTAAATTTGAAGGAAAAATATTTAGAATGCCATAGTTTTGTAATCATACCCAAAACAAGGAAATGCGTTAATTATATTAAAATTTGTGTTAACAAATGTGCCTTAAACAAAGTATTATGAAGGGATGTTGTATTAAAGTCACCTCCAGCCTTCCTTTTTATTTTTCTTTGTTCTAATTATTATATTCATGTATGTTGTGATTACATTTGAGAATAAATTTCTTTCTTTTTTATAAGAAATATGGCCTGTGTATGTGGAACTGACCAACGAAAAGATATATGGCTGTGATTTTATTGTCAGTGCTACGGGAGTTACGCCAAATATAGAACCTTTTCTCTGTGGCAACAATGTAAGGTGAAATTTTTGGTCCCACTACACATATTTTTATTTTTTTTTATTTTTGGGGGTTTTATTTTTAATTTAATAAATGTTTATTGTTCAGATTATTACAGTTATTCCTCTTTCCCCCCCCATAGCTCCCCTCCACCAGGTTCCTACCCTACCCTCTGCTCTTACCTCTCCCCCACTGTCCTCATCCGTAGGTGTACTCTTTTTGTCCAGTCTCTTCCCGCAACCCCCCCTATCCTTTCCCCCAAGAAAAGTCCACTCCTTTTCTATGCCCCTGATTCTATTATATTCACCAGTTAATATTGTTCATCAGATTTTTTTCTTCACTTGTTGATAGATACATATTTGTTTTTCATAATTTTTATCTTTATCTTTTTCTTCTTCTTACTCTTCTTAAAGAATACCTTCCAGTATTTCATATTATTCTGGTTTGGTGGTGATGAACTCCTTTAGCTTTTTCTTATCTGTGAAGCTATTTATTTACCCTTCAATTCTGAATGATAGCTTTGCTGGGTAGAATAATCTTGGATGTAGATTCTTGCTATTTATCACTTTGAATATTTCTTGGCACTTCCCTCTGGCCTGCATAGTTTTGTTTTGTTTTTTTGAGAAATCAGCTAACAATCATATAGGTGCTCTCTTGTAGGTAACTGTTTTTCTCTTGCTGCTTGTAAGATTTTCTCTTTGTGTTTTGCTCTTGAAATTTTAATTATGATGTGTTTTGGTGTGGTCCTCTTTGGATTCCTTTTGTTTGGGGTCCTGTGTGCTTCCTGGACTTGTAAGCCTATTTCTTTCATTAGGTGGGAGAAGTTTTCAGTCATTATTTCTTCAAATAGGTTTTCAGTATCTTGCTCTTTCTCTTCTGGGACCCCCATAATTCTGATGTTGGTATGCTTGAAGTTGTCTCACAGGCTTTTTACACTATCTTCAACTTTTTGGTTTCTTTTTTCTTTTTGTTTTTCCGGATAAGTGTTTTTTGTTTCTTTGTATTCCAAATCCTTGACTTGGTTCTTGCAATCCTCTAGTCTGCTTTTAAATCTCTGTATAATATTTTTTATTTCAGTCAGTGTATGCTTAATTTCTAGTTGATCATTTTTCATATCCTTGAGGGTCTCATTAAATTTATCGGCCTTTTCTAGGAAATTCTTGAAAAACCTTATAACCATGGTTTTGAACTCTATATCCAATCTTTTGCTTTCTTTCATTTCCTTCATTTGTGGCCTGCTTTTTTGTCACCACATTTTGGCTGCTACCCTGAGTTCTTGGAGTGGCTTTGTATGCTAGGTGTCCTAGCAGGGCCTAGTGGTTCAGCTTCCCCAGTTACCTTAAGTGGACACTCTTGGTATGCCCCTTTGTGGGCTGGGTGCAGTCTTGTTGTAGTTAAGCCTAGATTGTTGTTAATATCACTAAGGGGAGTTGACCTCCATGCCAATTGGCTGTGAGGATCAGCTGTGTCTCTGCTGAAAGAGTTTCTGTGCTCAGCTTGGATGGGGTGGAGTCTCAGGACTGAGCAGACAGCCATGGTTTCCCATCAGCCCCGCCCTACGACGCCCCTGTCTCAGTGTCCCTTGGCAATGGCTGCATGAAGCTCTCAGAGAAGCCTGCCCTCAAGCTTCGCCCGCTGCCAGATAGTCAGTCCAATTTCTCCCCAAATGAGTCTGGTACCCAAAGTCTCACCTGGAACTGGATTTCAGTGCAGTTGGGAGGTTTTGTTTTCCTCTGAAATGAGACAGCTAGCCATGTGCTTGCTGCCTGCCCATTCTGTGTGCCACAAGTAAGCCAGCTGCATATTCAGCCACTCGCCCTTTCTACACCTCTGTCCTTCACAGCTCCTCTGGGTCTCAGTGTCCTTTTATCTTTCCTTCTAGTTGTAGAATTTCCACTCAGCTAGCTTTCTGGTGGTTCTGCCTTCCATTTGCAGTTTTGAAATTGTTGTGCAAGGCAGCAGTATAGGTATTTACCTATGCCACCATCTTGTTTTCTGTCTACACATATTTCTAAAGCATTAATTATTCATTAATCTCAAGCCTACAACCGGGCATGTGCCCTGACTGGAAATCAAACCATGACCTCCTGGTTCTTAGATCATTACTCAACCACTGAGCCACAATGTTCTTAAGCAGTTAACATTCCAGTATAGGTGTCATTATTGATGTGACATAATGCATAACTTATTTATTTAAAGATTGGTAAGAGACTAATACCTCATGAATTCTTAAAAGTGCTATTTGGAAAAACTCTTACAATTTTGTCCTTTTAGCATTTGAACCTTAGAAAAACTGAGGAATATTCTTATGAGTATGTTAGTTGTATGGTTATTGGGTATTTTTGATGTTGAAATTCTCAGAATTTTATGAGTTTGTGTCTTATGAGGAATTTGGTTCTCTGGAAACTCAGCTTAGTTGCCTAAACTTTCAGCTATTTTTCACTCTCACTTTAAAGATCAGCTAACCATGATGTAAAAATTTTACTTGTTCTTTTATTGTAAATGAAGTCATGTTTCGTTTTTCTTACCATTGATGCTTACGAGGAACATTGTTTAGTTTGATGTAGGAGAAGACGGTGGCCTGAGAGTGGATGATCATATGCACACATCCCTTCCTGATATCTATGCTGCAGGTGACATCTGTACTGCTTCCTGGCCACCCAGCCCATTCTGGCAGCAGGTAAGCCGCATACAAGATTATGTTTTTTCAGATACTTCATGTGAAAACAAGTCCAACTTTCTGGTTTTCCAGATTTTCTACTTTAAGTAGGAAGCTATCATAGAGTTTTTTGTGACATTAAAAAAAAAAATCAGAATGTTTCCCTTTTGTTGAGTTGTAATTACAGTGATAGAATAAACTGAGATATCTTTCCCTTTAAAAAGTCATGTGCTGTTTCTTTTTCATTCTCAGATGCTTATCAGCACTATCCAATAGAACTGTCTAAGACGACGAAAATGTTCTGTACTTCCGCATTGTCCAGTCAGGTAGCCCCTAACCACAGGTGTCGATTGAGCACTTGAAATGTGCCTAATATGATTAAAGAACTGAATTTTTCTCACTTTTAGTTAAATAGTTACATATGGCTAGTGGCTACCATATTGTACAGCACAACTTTATACTAAAAAAAAAAATGAAGTTACAGAGATTATAAGCCATATAAATAAAGCATGCTGTTCCTTGATGACCCTGTTCTGTCCTGTGGGAATTACTACTGAAAATAATGTTCCTATAGTGAACAGCTTTGCTCAGCCTTTAGCCTAACTGCTGCTTCCAGCTGGCTCTAGACTTCCTCCTGTCCTCACATGTTATTGCCTACTTCCAAAAATACCAGAGGAAGATACTCAGTGGTTATAGGGGTTGTTGTCCTAGGAGCAGTAGAGAAGGTAGATATTAGAGATAAAAGAACCCAGTTAATGCCTGTCTTGGTGAAAGACTAGCTCTACAAGCAGTGATATTATTCATTCAGATTAACTATGGAGTGTGAAGTATTGGAAGAGCTAGATGTTTTTCAAGGGGCAGCTTCATTGGTTTATGTGTTGTTCTTTATGTACAGCAGATATAACATCAGTGATAAGAGAGCTTCTAAAATGCTTCAAACTAGCTTGTTTTCAGTTTTCTCTAGTCATCATATGTCATTTATGTGGCATATCTGTCACAAACTCTCAGGTAGGAATTGGAGTTTGGGGATTTAAAAAACAACATTTAAAACCCTCTAGGATAAATGTGCATCATTAGAGGAAAGAAATACCCCAAAATCAATCTCTTGTTGAGTAATTCTTAATAGATCCCATCTCTTAATTTGCAGAAGCAGTAAGTACATTAGTAATTGTTCTACATAGTCCCAAGATGCAAACTTAAGGGACTTGGAAGCAGGAATACATCAACTAGATAACACTCCAGCAGGGTAATATTGTAGGCCACTGCCTTTAGCCATCCTCTAGTTTTATTGTGCTCAGTTTACTCTGCTTCTTTACCAGAGACTGCCTCTTACTTCATTAAGCCTAACTTGTTTACATGGAGGAGACTGAATTAAAAAAAAAAAAAAAAAAAGTCACTATTATCAGAAATCCTTGAAGCTTATATCCATGATTGTGGTATTATTTTTACATACAAAAAGACAGCATTAGTTACATATAGGGGTATAAGGGTACTACTAATTGCTTATTATAAGCTAACCTGTTTAATTTTCCCAATAGCCAAGGAGGAGGTGGTGTATGTTTATATTTCAAGTGAAGAAACTGAGGCTCAGAAAATTAAATAGGTAGAGGAGTTGATATGCAAATACTGACTTCCAAGGTCAGTATTCTGTTATACTAGAAAACCCCAAAGCTTTGTAGAAATTCAGTAAAAACAGAATACATTAGAAATTAATACTGATGTAGAGAAGAATTTTAAATGACTTCCCAGAATCAGTTGCTGAAATCCAAAATGATGTCTCGGGGTTAGGCACCAAGTGATAAATCTGGCCACTGAGGTTAAATTGAAGGGTAGGCCTTAATGATCTGGCACCAAGATGAGGGTTAGGAGAAGGAACACATTTTTCAGTGATAATTTGACATCTCTATTAATGCTGATGAGGAATTTATTCTCAACTGGAGACTGGTTAAAATGTTATTATCTGGTGTAACCTGAAATATATTTTTAAATAGAAACTTTGTTGAAATGTAAAATTTGGTGTCATCTTTAATTTTTGAAGCAGTAATTTAGGAAGAATTATCATATACCAAAATCAAATGCCAATCAGTGTGGATTGGTGATTGCTTCTATGGCAAAGATGATCCAACCAAATATCTAACCAATTTAACTGATGTAGACCTAACGAATATCAAGGACTGTCAAACATTGAACATCATTAAGGAATGTTACATGGTTGAGTGATGACATTTTTCAAGTAATGATAATGAAAAACTATACTGCATTACATTTTTCATTTCAGATGAGGCTGTGGACCCAGGCTAGACAGATGGGATGGTATGCAGCAAAGTGCATGGCTGCAGCTAGTTTAGGAGACTCCATTGACATGGATTTCAGCTTCGAACTTTTTGCTCACGTAACAAAGTTTTTTAATTATAAGGTAAGATAGATAAGCCAATTAGTGCCTTTTTCTGCTTGTTAGTAACTGATTATAATCATCAAATTTTCTTACTTGAATACAAGTTCATATGGTTTTAATCATTTTACCAGAAAAATGAAATATTTTCTTATTTTATGCAAATCAGTACTTGGTATTATTGCTGATCTTAATTCCTAATTATCTGATAATCGTTACCTCCCTTCCCACTATACTGTTTTACACTTAATAGGAGTGTTTCCTGGGGGTGCATTTCTAATTTTTATTTGAAATTATTTCTTTGTGCAGAAAACTAATAGCTGTCATACTCAAGAGTGAGCCGTTATTTTCCATAAATAATCTTACTTAATCCTCTCTACATTAGTCTGAGGCTAGTTTTTGTTCCTAATTTACTGATAAAGAGAAACATACACAAATAAACACATACACAGGGTTCAGGGAGATTAAATTATTTGCTAAGCAAGATCTAATTCAGTTCCTTATTTAATCTTTAAATCATGACTCCAGGCTAATGTGGTCCATATTCTACATATTTGTATATTCCGTATTAGATATTTTAATCCTCACCGGAGGATATGTTTTTTAAATTAATTTTAGAGGAAGTGGGGGGAGGGGGGGGGAACATCAATAGATTGCTCCGGTACATGCCAACTGCAGATCTAATCCACAACCTAGGTATGTGCCCAGTCTGGAAAATGAACCCACAACCTTCTGATGTATCCTGGTGTACAGGACACCACTCCAGTCAACTGAGCCACCCAGCCAGGGCTTCACTAGATATTGTTAATGTCCAGGTAGATTGTATGGCATTATCGTCTGTAGAATAAATGCATACCATTCAGACGTTTGGGGTTTCTTGGAAGCTGCTCCAGCTTTTAGCTGTAAAATTTTGGAACAGATTTTTCTGCTGGCCATTCTGGCAATAACACAAAATAATTGCCTATTATGTCTCCTTTTAGGCACCCCACTAGAATAACTGTCCCTACATGTATATTTATAGGTTGTATTGCTGGGAAAATACAATGCACAGAGCTTGGGTTCAGATCATGAATTAATGCTGAGATGTACCAAAGGACAAGAATACATCAAAGTCGTCATGCAGAATGGACGGATGATGGGAGCTGTCTTAATTGGTGAAACCAATTTAGAAGAAACATTTGAAAACTTGATATTAAACCAGATGAATCTTTCATCATATGGAGAAGATCTACTAGATCCAAACATTGATATAGAAGATTATTTTGACTAAAAAGAGCATTTCAAGAACCACATAGTTCCAAATAAAGACAAAATGTCAAGTCAATGATGTGAAGGACTCCACTGATTTAATGGTGACCACATTGAAATTAAAAATACAGAAGTGATAATGACTTTAGTGAAAAAGTATTTAAAAATAAAATTCTAAAGATGAAATCAAGTTTGGATAACTTACATGTATATTTTTTTCTAACACAAAACTGGCCTCTCATGACCACTTATGTAAGAATTTTCAAGTTACTCATTTATGTGCTTTAAACTTAAGACATGTTCACTTGTGATTTAGTTTTGGAGCTAGATTGGTCTACAAAGGGCCATTCTTTATGAAATGTCAAAATAGGGCTATGGTTTCAAGCTTAGTTTTATTTTACTTAAATAGAGACATAGCCATCTTACTAATATTAGTATTGATACCTTATTTTTGTGTGGCTTCTACATCTGTTATAATGTGAGAGTACTCACTTTTTGTGATGAGCCTATGTAAAACTCTCAGTACAATAACATTGCTATCAAAAGATAGTTATGTCAAAAAAAAAATTACAAGGCATCAAGAGCTTAGATAGTTATGTGAACTTATTCTCTTAAGTATTTTACTTTTAAAGGGTTTTACATTAAAAATTTATTTCCCCCTCATTCACACTGTAATTGTATGCAGTTCATGCTCTTAAATTTTCAAAAGTTCTCAAATTCTCAAGTCAATACTTTAGAGAGAAGTTCTTAAAATACTGCTTCATGTATATAAAGTATAAATGAGAGTGTCTTAAAATTTAAGCTTCTTGTTAACTACAAAAATAATGATATACGCATGCATAAAACTTCTTTTCTTGGAAAATTTAGAAACATTCATCAATTTTTCTTTTTTTAGCCCCTGTATTCTTAGAATCAGATTGCTGAAGTTTGTTTGCAGATTTCTTCTGGAAGTTGCCCGAATTTTTTCCTTCCTTCTTTTTATCAGATCCCTCAGAATCACCACTTTGAGATGATTCAATCTACAAAACAATAACAAACACTGGTAAAAATTCAGTTATCTCATGAGATTCATAATCTCAATAGTCCTATATCAGGTAGCTCTTGAAATGTGTCCTGAGACACAATTGTATATGGCATGCTTTTGCAGGCTTGCTAGTATTATACTTAGATTATAACTGCCTTTCAACTTCTGTCACAGAGACAGACTTCACAACCAACTCTGATCTCATGAGAGAGGGTGTATCACAGAATTAGGTATTAAAATTAGATAGGAGTCGTCACATTTCAGAGGTTAGAAATTCCTCTAAACTAAAAAGCTAGTCTAAACTCTCCCACTTAATGTCTTCCATATCCAGATTCTAAATCACTGACTTATCTCTTATGTTCAACTCAACCTAGGAAGTACTAATTAAAGAAAAGCATCCATAGGCTTTAATGTATTTTTTAAATATTTGAAAATAGTTACCGTGAAATAGGTCTGCGTGGACTTCTTTACTTGCATAGTAATAACATGTGCCTCGTTGTTCAGAAGATTAGCTTTAGGTCCTGTTTTCAAATAGGAAATGGTAGCGTACGCTGTAAAACTGTAGTCTTCTCTGTAGAAGATAAAGACCGCCAATCAGAGAGCTTTTGAGGAGTTACAGGAAACATAAAAATAACCATATGTGCAATAATTCTAAGTCATATATTTATATGAAACAATGGGAATTACACTATAAAAATACAATTTATAGGAAGTACTTTCACTTTATGCTTTTTTTGACACCAATCAATTATAGTTGGAATTTAAGTACATTTTGTATAGTGTTCAACATTCATATGAAACAACCACAAAACCATTTATTTCGAGGCAATTATAAAAATGAGAAATAACCATAAAGACATTTAAAAGTTTTGTGGAAGAAAATATTTTATTTTCCCATTTTTGATTCTTATGATTATATAAGTCATCATTCTTGTACTAGTTTTAGGCATTTTACTATTTTATTTCTTCTTAAGTTTAACATATCTCCTATTATTGTTCTACTGAGATATAACTAATGCCTATAAAGTCTGTTTCTTTATTTTTAAAATTAAGATAGAATGCCTAGTCTCATCTCTCCATCTTGCTAAGATTAAATGACGTAATAAAAATGATAATATGTATTCTACAATTATTATTGTTATATATCCAAATTTGAGTTTTTCTTAAAGTAATCTTTTTGGAAAAATATATACTTATTCCATGAATAAAAAAATAAATAAAAATAGCCCAGCTGGCATGGCTCAATAGTTGAGCGTTGACCTATGAACCAGGAAGTTTCAGGGCACATGCCCTGGTTACAGCCTCAACCCCCAGTTAGGGGCCTGTAGGAGACAGCCGATCAATTATTGTCTCCTCACCTCATTCATGCTTCTACCTCTCCCTCTTCCTCTGTGAAATCAATAAAAACATTTAAAAATAAAACCGTGTACTGTTTTTTAAAAAAATCATAAAAGACAACATGAAAAGACAAGAAGGGGTTGGTGTATACTTAAGATACTGCTGTAGAAGAAAGTGCGCAATAATCTTCTCCAGGTCTTCCCGAGGAAGCGTGGGAGGAACAACACCTGCTACTCTCAATTTTGCTGCTCCCTTTCCCATCCAAGAATCAATCAGTTTCAGTGGAGTGAGCTTTTCATTCATTTCCTCTGCCTGCTGCAGGATTTTGATTAGATCTCTGCAGTAGGCTGTTACATTCTTTCTTTCAAATGCTATAATGAAAGAGACATGGTTACAGACAATGGGGATTTAGAAATTAGGGCAAAGATAGTCTATTCCAAGTGGTTAAACTGGTTTCAAAACAAGTTATCATTGTGAGCCACCCTACACATTGGTTTATTAATGTGTTCTGAATTAAAACTAGGCTATTCCTCAAGTCTGGCACTAACCTAAGTTGTAAATTCATTAAAACACTGAAAGAAAATAAGCTATATCAGAAGGCCTTTGGGTATGCTCTGGAATCAGAGAGTGTTTGCCAGACACGATGATGCAGATACTAAGAGGTGTTTATAGGAGAGTCAATCTATTCTGCATATTTACCTGATGTGGGCTCTTAAGCAATTTCCTGAAAACTAGTATTGCTTCATAGCTAGCCTGATACAGAGACAAGAATGTCCTGAACAGATATCACCAATTATTGATACTAGCACTCTGTTTTATATATCAGACTCATTAATTTGGTCAGCAAAACATGCTCTAATAAACTTAAAACAAGTAAGTTGCTCTAGTTGTAACTTAAAAATAGTGGACCTTCATCCACCAAGGCATTAGAACTCAGTGAGGAACTGGTTAGTCCAGCTCTTAAAATACAACACCCAAACACAGAATGAAATAAAGTTAAAATACAGTTCTAAAACTATTTTCCTAATCAGTTACTATCAAGTACTAGATTATCATGAGATTAGCCTTTTATATAAATAGCATTTCTATTCAGATGATTTATTTCCTTTGTTTCTTAAAAAATTTCACATGCCGCTGGGCCGGTTTGGCTCAGTGGATAGAGCGTCGGCTTGGGGACTAAAGGGTCCCGGGTTCGATTCCGGTCAAGGGCAGGTAACTTGGTTGCGGGCATATCCCCAGTAGGGGGTGTGCAAGAGGCAGCTGATCGATGACTCTCTCTCATCGATGTTTCTAACTCTCTCTCTCCCTTCCTCTCTGTACAAAAATCAATAAAATATATATTTTTAAAAATTTCACATGCCTTCAGTAATAGCAACATAAAATATATACACACAATATTTGCCTTTGTTTCAAAACTATATTATTACTTTTGAATCTGGCAAATTCTATTCACATCTTGTTTAATCTTTTAAATCAATTTTTAGATCAATTACTGCCCTCATGTAGTCTTACCCATCTATAATAATAAAAGTGTAATATGGTAATTAGAACGGATGACCTTCAGGATGAAGCTGAGGCTGCAAGGGCCGAGGGCAAGCCCCTTGCACAAATTTTGTGCATCAGGCCTCTGGTATATGTATATTAGCCTATAAAAGTTTAAAAAACAACTCACAAATGTCTTTACAGCAATTATCACACATTTTGTTGCATGCTTCTGAGTTCCACACTTCATCAAAATGTTGAGCTATCAATACACGGCGACATCTGCCAACACATTGAGAGATACAAATGAAGTGATCTAATAATGTTTTAAAGATCCCTATTTCAAAATACAGGATTATATCTTGTACTGGTAGCCCTGCACACAAATCCATGTGCCAGTAGCTCACTGCCACCGTCCTGTAGCTCTCTGCCCGCTGCCCCATCCTCCTTAGTGCCCCACCTCCCTTATAGCTTGCTGCTATAACTCTCTTGTCTCCTGCTTGCTTGCTGTGCTGTCCCCTCCTATAGCTCTCCACCTTCCACAGCTCCTTTCTACCCCCCCCCCCCACTTGTAGTTTGATACCCCACCCTCCTGCAGATCCGTGATCTGGTCATTATGCCTCATGGTATAATGGATAATTAGCATATTCCTCTCTTATTATATAAGTTCCCTATTGCTGCCATATCAATATCACAAACAGTGTCTTAAGACAACATATTTATTATGTTACATTTCGATAGGTTAGAAGTCTGATGTGGATCTTGCTGGGTTAAAATCAAGGTGTAAGCAGGGCTGTGTTTCTTCTGGAGGCGCTAGAGGACAGAATCTGTTTTGTTTTTTTTGCCTTTTCCAGTTTTTAAAGATTGCCTGCATTCATTGGCTTGTGGCCTCCTTTCCTTCATCTTAAAGTCAAGCACACTGGGTTGACTCTTCACATCACATCACTCCAACTCTTTCACCCTCTCTGCCTCCTTCCAAATTTAAGGACCTTTGTGATTATACTGGGCCCACCCAAATAATCCAAGTTAATCTCCCTATTTCAGGGTCATCTGATTAGCAACCCTAATTCCATCTGTAACCTTAATTCCCTTTGGCCACATAAGGTAATATACTCACAGGTTACTGATGTTTGGATGTAGATATATCTGTGGGACTTTGCCCACCACATATAATTTTTTCCATACATACTTGATAAACATAGCTTTTAAGAAGTTGCCTGAGATTCATTTTGAGATTCAATATTTTACTATTAAAAACATCTTCCTGATAGCAGTTTCTTGTACTTTATAGTATCCATTGATTCTAAACCCCAAAATATGCTTCATTGGGATCTACAGGACATCTAAGAAAAATGTTCTTTTTCTCATTTAACTAGATTATTGTAGCATCTATAGGAAAGAAATATACCATTTTTTTGTCACTGTCTGGTTACTGCTTATATAAAAATTTTGAGTCATTTTTATATGATGGGTATTAAGAATACAAAGATAACTAAGACAAAAAAGCCATCAGGGAGCTATATGGTCTTATTAAATCTACCCTAAATAGATTTAAACTTATTTCTTAAGGAGAAACTGGACCCTGCTCTCAATGATTTCATCAATCCATCAGCTGGAAGGATGGTTGGTGCTCAACTCTCAAAACTCCTCTTATACACCTGAACATAATTATTAAATCATACAGCTACACACCAGTGCTGGGGAAGGGGGCGGGGGAGGCTTGAACTCACTATCTCTATCAGACTCTTCAGTAAGACATCATTTTGGAGAATTAGAGAGAGAGAGAGAGAGAGAGAGAGAGAATATCTTTTCTTGGATTAAGGCACATCTTGCAGGTTCATGTACTTGTTCTTAACACTTCATACATGGCTTTTACATGTTTGCAGTTGATGTTTTACCAATGTATTTACTGACTTTCCTAAGTACTCAAAGGAACATCATATACTTTCACATTGTTATTTGTCTTTAACTGACAAGGTTATGAAAAGACATGTGGCTTACTTGCTTATGTTTTGGCAGTATGACACCATCTCATAAAGCTTTTGTTGCCCCACATTTTCCATCACCACCATTGAACTGATTCTGAATATGTCTCCAAAGCCATAATACAAAATGCAGTCCGCTTTCGTGTCATCTCTACCTATAGTAGAAAAGATCTTGGGATTGCATAATTACTTTAAAAAGTCAAAGCAAGCAAAAATAATACATGCAAAGTCATCCAGCTATGCTTCATTGTCCAAGTATAAAACATCTATAAATTTCAGACAAAAAAAGTGTAAGTTAATTTGTAACAACTGTCCTCAAATTTTTTTAAATGACTAGAAGACTCACTAACATTCAGCTTTATTAATTAAAAATGTGTCCAGCTTTGGCTGGGTGGCTCAGTAGGCTAGAACATCACCCTGTACCCCAAAAGGCTGTGGGTTCGATCCCTGCCATGGCGTATATAGGAGGCAACCCATCTATGTTTCTCTCTCACATCAATGTTTCTCTCCCCCTTCTTCTCTCTCTAAAATTAATGAAAATGTATCCTCGAGTGAGAATTAAAAAATAATGTGTCCATAAGTAATCCGGATACTTAAGTAAGTTACAGAGTTGAATCCACTAATTAAAAACTCAGGAGGCAAAGATATCAAATTACATCAAATTATCTTAGCAAACAGAAGAAACAATTCATAACACTCTAACAGAACATACATAAGTAAAATTTCTCCATAGGCAAATAAGTATAAACTTGTGAAAAAGACTTGTTATTCTAAAAATAGTAGCCAATAAAGATTAAAAATACAGAATTATTAAACCACGTACAGTGTGTTTTCTGAAAAAGCATTTTTAAAAATGACTTCTGGATTTGAGCTATACATACCTGCACGACCACTCTCTTGATAATAATTTTCCATAGATTTACTCATTGAATGATGAATAACAAATCTCACATCTGGCTTATCGATTCCCATACCAAATGCAACCGTTGCCACTACTACCTAAAATGTTTTAACATTTCATATGTTAATTAAGTCAATCGAAAATACTCGTAAAGGTGAATTAGGTTTCTATTGGAGACATATACCTAACCTGAATTTCATTGGCTGACCACCTTCTGTGAACCGTGGTCTTATCTTCTGGTTCCATATTGGCATGGTATGCACCTGCACGAATTCCCAATTTCTGTAAACTAGCTGTAACTTGCTCAGAGTCCTTCTGAGAAAAGCAATAAATGATTCCTGTACGAAAATATGTCCAATTGTTAGATTTATAAGTATAGCATATTCCTGGAAGAGCGTTTTTAACACTCAAGATAGCGATTAATACAGGGGACAGTAATTTATGAAAAATGTCAAGGCCCCGACACATATCGATTTTTTGGTATAATTCACGATTTGATCACGAGCAGACATGAGCCCTAAGCCATAGGTGGTGGGTCTCATTGCCCCTTTCCTCTCTCCAACTTTATTTCCCACCAGAGTGTTTCTCAAACTGACGCCTCACAGCTCCTTAAGAGGTTAGCAAGTGTCTGTGAAAAAAGTTCCAGGTGCAAATGAGTTTGGGGAGCAATGCACTGAACTAAGTTAGTTTCTCTGTTTGTAGGGCTGGTCAAAGTAGATACACCCCATGACTCTCAGGAGAGATAAATGGCTAGTTGCAGCCTTTTTCAAACTTATTTGATTCTGGAACTCCCTTTATCTGGGATACCCATTCCTATCTCCTGAAAATCTATAGAGCAGTTTTGAAATGCCGCTTTTATACAAACTCTTTGCTTCAGTAATACTTACCTGTTCATTAATCCTGAAACACAGTTATACATACTCTGAACTCCATCTATACTTAACTCATTCAATATGTTCTATTTATTTCTTTAATATGTCCTTTACTATATGGGGCTACATTTTACATCCCTTTAGATCATCAGTGGTTACTTCTGTCTTATACACAGTGGATCCTTACTGAATACATGCTATTGAAAATTAACATTAAGACATTAGGTCCATTCCTTAAAACAATTAAGTGTAAATAAGCAAAACTAAGTCAGACATTTAGCAAATGACACAGATAGTTTCTAAGATGGCCAAGCAAATTAATTTTACCATAACATGTTCAAGCACCTTCTGCCATGCATTACCATATTTTTTGGTGCTAATCATTTATCAGTATATCAGTGTAATATTTATTACTTTTTGAAAGTTTTCTCTGTCTACAAAGTTGGTTTGTTATTTTATTACCTGATTGCCCTTTGTATCTCCCATTAATGACCTTTACAATATCCTCAATAAAATCTTCAGTGTTTGAAGGCTTTTGACGAACCTAAAAAAAGCTAACTTATTAAAAAGTAACTTAATGAGGACCACCCAAGTAGTCACTTACTGACATCTTTCAAGGTGTGATTCTTTCATGAACACTGTGTTTTTTCCTATTATTCTTTCACTCACCCATCTGCCTCACCCCACCACCTCCTCCTAACCTCTTCTTCATCCTTATTTTTTAATTTCCCAGAGATGAGGAGGCACAGAGCAGTGAATAACTTATAAAGATGGGGACTATTTTCTGGTGCTACTTTTATAAAAATATAAACCATGGAATAGCTATTCAATGAAAACTCAGAAAAACATTGTCTATTCTTAAAGGAATTAAAAAAAGAAAGAAAAAACAATTGTTAGGCTATTTAACTTTCAAAGTTATATATCAAATATAATCTAAATTTTATTATTAGCAAATCTTGAATGTCATACTAATCTTGAATGGCATACTAATTTTGTATTATTTCATCATTAATTTTAATAGGATGTCATTAGGATCCTTGGTGTCAATCTATGCTCTTTTCCCACCCTTGCACAAGAAAAAAAATGTACATAAATTTAACAAGGCAGCATCTTCTACTTAAACTAATAAAGAATATGCAGCACAATAGATATCAGAAGAAGGCATAATTGACGAATCTTATAATTAGTACCTCCTGATTTTAAACATAGTTAACTGTTACTCAGGTAAATATTGGTAAGCATAATGAAAAGGTCACCTCTCTGCCACAACCTTTCACAGAAGTTACGTACCTCATAGTAAAGATTTGGCCGGTTAAAAGAAGCTGTGAAAGTAAAACACTTCTCAACACACAGTATTTTTTGCGCATCCTTCAGAACATGACTGGTTGCAGTCGCAGTCAGCCCAATCAGTGCTGTGTTCGGGAACTGGCGCTTTAAGATACCAAGTGCCTTATAATCTGGAAAAAAGAAAATACAAAGTGGCCCTCTTTCTGTTTTTTAAGGAATAGAGTAAGTTAAGCCTCTTAACATGATGGCAATAATCAAGGATTGCTGTGATTTGATTTCCATAGCTAGCTATCTCAGTAAATCTGCAGTTGCAGCCTAGTCTTTTTGAATAGGTGGGCTTTCTTATACTTTTAGTTGATTCTTTGAAAACACTGTTCTTGGCCACGGGTGGGAATTCTCTGTTGAAGAGAGGAAATACCTACCATTTCTAGTAAGCTAGAAATGTCCACACCTGGCATTTGAGGGGCAGTGGGAGTAGCCACAGTGCTTGAGTCTATTACAACTGACAAGAGATAAAAGAGACATCAGCCTAAACCCTTCTACGGTATCACCAGAAGCATCCACGAGTGGCAAGTTCAGACCAGAAAAAGCTTGGTGAGGGCACTGCTTTTTATATAACCTATTTCAGGGGACCCCTTCTGGGCTCATACTTGTCATATACATCTACATTGCTAGATAAGTTGTCCTTAAATACGTAAAATATTTGGAAAGAAGTGAAAAAGAAATTGCTAAAGGCTAAGGCAGAGGGCTATGAAACTTCAGCGAAGAAAGTAACCATTTGAGAAGTTGTGAAGGCTTCCAGGAGCTAACATTGAACTGGGTCTTGAAGAATGAGCAGAGTTCCGAGGAAGGGAGCAGGAAGACATCAGGCAGAGGAAACAGCACACACACTGCAGACACACTGGCATGAAATTACTCGAGAAGTTGCAATAACAGCAAGCAGTTTAGTGGGGCTAAATCACAGGGTGTTATGATATTTGGATCTATTGCCAAGGCCAGTAAGTAGGGAACTATATTCCTCTGTGGTTGCGTGTTAGAGCTGAAAGCTTTCCCTCTAAAACCATGAACAAGGCAAGTATGCCCACTTCCTCCACTTTTGTTCAACACTATAAGCCCAATGCATGAAATTCATGCAAGAGTAGGCCTTCCTTCCCCCGGCTGCCGGCACCGGCTCCCCTCTGGCACCCGCTCCCCTCTGGCACCCGGGACCTAGGATTCCCTCCCAGCCTCAGCTTGTTCAGAAGGATGTCCAGTATAATTAGCATATTACACTTCTATTATTATAGTTAGTACTGGAAGTCCTAACCAGAGCAATTAGGCAAGATAAAAAAAAGGCATCCAAATTAGAACACAAGTAGATATATATATAATACTCATGGATCGGATAATTTATATTGTCAAAATGTCAATAGTACTGTAAGAGAGCTACAAAGTCAATGCAATCCCTTATCAAAATACCAAGGGCATTTTCCACAATACTTAGAACAAATAATCCTAAAATTTATTTGGAACAACAAAAGATCCTCCGTAGTGAAAGCAATCTTGATAAAGAAGAACAAAGTTGGACGTATCACACTTATGAACTTCAAACTACACTACCAAGCTATAATAAAACAGTACAATTTATTCTGTAGAGTAGTCTGGTTAAGATAGTAGGGCTCTTAGTAGAAAGGACAGTATATACTGCCTGAAGCACTTAAACCAAATAAAAAAAAAAAAAATACCTGTGCTTCCAATATTTCTGAAAGTAGAGAATTATCTTCAGGCTATGAGTCTACTATCCTTGGGGAAGTAGAAAAAAAAGTGAAGACAGATCAAAACCAAAGAGAACACTAATATTTAAGGAGGTGGCAAAGGAAGAAGAATGAAGGAGGTAAGAATGAAAAAGAACAAAATAAAAAAAGTAACATATTAACTGAAAGAAAAGAAAGTGGTAAGATGAGAGGTGAACCAGTATAAAATGCTATTGTAGTTCAATGGGAAGAGGAATAAGATGAGACCACTGGATTTAGCCAGTGGGAAGGAGGGTCACTGGTAACCTGTGAGTAGAGTGGAGAAGGAGGAAGTGTGATTCAAAAAACTCGGGAACCCAGGGGTCCATATGAGTGTGAAAGTAGGTTCAAAAGGAAAAGAGGTTGAAATCATAAAGCAGGATTTTTTAATTTAAGATATTTTTACATAAAACAAGTCTGAACAATCTGCTTCAGGCTATGATTGTGAGGAGTAAAGAAAAGTTATTAAAATATCCCATGGAACTTTACCACTGAGGAGTTAGTTGAATATAGGTCCTGAAGTGGATGCTAACGACTCAGAGTGACAACTAAAGACAACTTTGAAGCAGATGCAAATTCCTCAGTAGATGTGAAAAAGAACTTAGAGGTCAATAAATCTTTATGGCTAAGGTAGAACAGTATTTATGCTAACAGACATACGTTTTAAAGGACCAAGACAATTAACCTAAATACTATCTTAGAGGGAGTAAATAGAAAGATTTTGCCTCTTGACTCTCCTTATATTAAGGCAAAAGTAAATGAGTAGTAACTACCCAAGAGGATAATTTTAATGGAAGCAGGAATTTTCCATCATGTAAATCTGAGTAAGAAAATAGTCCCCAGTATCAAGTTTTCTGGCTACCAGATACATACCGGGTCGGAAATCATGACCCCAGTGACTACAGCAGTGAACTTCATCCACAGCTATTCGGGTAAATCTCCTTGCTTCGTAGGCTTTCTCTAGTCTTGACATAAACATTTTGCTTTTTGCAATTTTCTCTGGAGTCACATAAATTAGCTTTAGCTTGGAGTTTTTATTTACCATTTCAGCATGAACCCATTTCACATGCTCCTATTGAAAGGAAAAGCAGACACAATAGAACTAAGCTAGCAGACTGCAATATTAAGTGGTAAAAGATGTTCATTACTCAAAAGCAACAGCCTGGAGCTGTTTAACAGCAGATATTTAGTTCATTAAAATGGAAACCATGTCCCAGAACTAAACTTCATGGCAGCTGTGCACTTAAGAATAAGAAATGAATGTCAAGATACTCAAATAAGCATTTATTCTATGACGGCATAATTCTAAATTATTTGTAATAACTATGATTACAAAGGTGTGTTTTTTATTAATCTTAACAGACATTTGTAACACTGCATATCTCTGTGCACATAATTTATTCTTGATTACCTAGTTAATGATGCTGTCAAATCTACTCATAATCTTCTTATTTAGGTTTTATAAAGTATCTTATTAATTGAATTAAAATTTTATAATGTGAAATACATATTTATGTCATATATAATAATAATAATAAATCTTAAGTGGTAATTTATTAGGTTCTCAGTGCTTTGTTACTATTTTATATAATATTTTGCCCAGTAGATGTCATACTTTTCCTTCTCATTTGATTAGGACTCAAAGAAGTATGAAGAAACAATGCTGAATGTGATAGAGAAAGTCAAAACTGCTTTCATTGTCCCAGAAAGCAGTGTGTGTGTTAACTCCTTGAGATAGTCCTAATTTTGTTAAGAAATAGACAAAGTGTATTAAACATTTCAACTGTGTCCTAAATGTCCCAGAAATCTTAGGGGAGCAAACATAAGGCTATCTCTTCAGAAATGGGCCTATGCAAAAATAAAATATTAGAACTTCTGTGAGAATAAGTGTAAATGAGTGAGCATGGTTATGTTCCAATAAAACTTTAATTATGGGCACTAAAAACTAAATCTCACATAATTTTCACACTTCACAAAATGTATTATTTTTCTCTTAACCATTTAAAAATATAAAAATCTATCTTAACTCACAAATCATACAAAATAGGCAATGGGCTAGACATGGCCCATTAGCAGTAGTTTACAACTCCTGATATAAATAGTAATCAGTTTTCATTTTATAAGCAACTCAATTGTAGTTAAGGCCCTTACTTCAGTGAAGAGTTAAAACACAATACAAAATAATACAGACCATACCTTAGAACTAGAAGCATTTAACATGGTAGCTGAAATTTCTAATTGTTTTAAAACCATTAATTGGTCTTCCATAAGAGAAATCAATGGGCAAATCACAAGTGTAAAACCTGAAAAAGAAAAATTTACTTCAGTTTAATACCACCACCAGGACAAGTTTCAGCGAGTCACCTTCTTTACCATAACTTGTGGGTACTATCCATTAATTCAGACTAATTTTCAATGCAACTTTAGCAGTATACTATCTATTTCTTACCCTCATTAATATAGGAGGAAGATACGAATAAATGACCCTAACCCAAATAAGCAAATTTAAGATTAAGCAGAAATCTCTTCCCTTATTCAGTCCTACAAACATAAAGACAGATATTTTGAATTCACTATCATTTTTAACAATCAGTATTGGCAATCACAGTAAAATGACATAAATCAAATACTATCCAATTACATCAGGGAAAAGTTATTCCAAAGCTGCCTACCTCTCCATAAAAACTATAGCAATCTATAGAATTGAAAATGTTTCATGGGTATTCATCCACTTACTGAACCAGATTAATTTATTCTGAATAAAAATCAGTGAATAAGGCATTGACTATACGAAGTTCTGGCAATATATCTTGTTTCTCTTATAACTGAAAGTGTTGACAGCTATAAGAGCTATTCTACATTGTTAAAAGCATATGACCTCATGTTCCTATAGTTTGTTCCTTAAAATAACCACAGAAAGAAGGTAGTCCCATGTAACTATTTTTTTGAATACTTAAAAATATATTAAGCCCTAGCCAGTTTGGCTCAGTGGATAGACCATCAGCCTGTGGACCGAAGGGTCCCGGGTTAGACTCCGGCCAAGGGCACATGCCTGGGTTGTGGGCTCAATCTCCAGTGGGGGCGTGCAGGAGGCAGCAGATCCATGATTCTCTCTTATCATTGATGTTTCTATCTCTCTGTCACTCTTCCTTCTTCTCTGAAATCAATGAAAATATATTTTTAAAAAATAAAAAATAAAATTATTATATACATATTAAGAGAGCCCTGGCTAGTGTCGCTCAGTTGGTTGAGCATCATGCAGAGCACCAAAAGGTCCCCTAGTTCGATTCTCTATCAGGGTGCGCAGGGGAGGCAACTAATCAATGTTTCTCTCTTCCTCTCCTTTCCTTTTTCTAGAATCAATAAAGATACATTTTAAAGTATATACTACCTGTGTGTGTGTGTGTGTGTGTGTGTGTGTGTGTAGAGAAATAACATTTCTTCCACTTAAAATCACACTTTATTAATACATACCCTCTGAACATAATGCTGGTAACTGGTAGCATAAGCTCTTTCCACCTCCTGTAGGCATAACAAGAAATACATCCTTTCCAGACATTGTTACATTAATAGTTTCAAGCTGAAGCAATCTGAACTTCTCCAGTTTAAAGACATTTTGCAGAACATCTTTAACTTTATCAGACCATGGAAAATCTAGAAAGAGATAAATAAGCTAAATACATTAGATTGTTTGGGACTATAATGAGACACATGTGTATGGCTGCTTTCTAAGAGCAGGGTCAGATAAATTTATATAAGACTTTTAATTCTATGGACAATTTAACTTTCATAAGAACAATTTTGAGATTAGTGTAAGTCACAAAACTAAAGCAAAAGCAAATTTAATGATATATCGTAAGAAATAGTAGCTCCAAAAAAAGCTATATATCAGGAAAAAAATCAAAGCATATGCCAGTTGAAAATTAACACAAAAGAAAATATTTGAAAAACCATCTGAAAGTCAACCAAGGAATTCAAAGTATCATAAAAAATTCAAATATCATGAATAAAATTAACAATTATCTGGAACTTTTGGTGTAAATATCTTGTTTACAAGTGAATCCCTAAAAAACAAGGCCCATAAGAGCACTACAATTCCTTCTCAAGTTATAGTATTCTTTTTATTTTTATTTTTTGGTTGTTCATCAATGTTTATTTATTTTTCAATTACAGCTGACATTCAATATTATATTAGTTTCAGGTGTACAGTACAGGGTGAGACATTTATATAACTTACAAAGTGATCCCCTATAAATCTAGTAACCACTTGGCACCATACAGTTATTTCAATATATTCTCTGTGCTGTGCTTTACACTCACATGACTGCCAATTTGTATACTTAATCCCTTCACCTTTTTCACCCATTTCCCCAACCCCTATCCTATCTGGCAACTAACTGGCTGTTCTCTGCATTTATTTAAGTCTACTTCTGTTTTATTTTAATTTTTAGATTCCACATGTAAGTGAAATCATGTAGTATTTGACTTTCTTTGTCCCTCACTATAATTAGTTGATACACATGATGCTTTGAAGGAACTTAAATCAAAAAAGGTTTGTTCAGTAGAACAGGGAAATGAACTAGACATCAGCAGAAAGTTTGAACTTTTTTCTTTATTGTTTAATTTTGTCTAGTGAAAATTTAGAAAATTTAGTTAAAATAAATATCTCCTTTTTCCAAGCATTGATCCATGTTGTTAACATTAATGTTGTTAACCATATTTGGAAAAAAGTAGTAGTCTGAATAATAAAAGCTTAATTTTAACATGGGTAAATGGTCTGCCTCTAAGCTTTCTATGCCACTTAAGGAATGGCCTCTATACTTACTGGAAAATACTGGCCCTGGTACAATGATTTGACTCCAGTTTAAAGAAAGAAGAAAAAAACTAGCAAATAAAAAAAAGAATAAACCTTCTTTATTCCAAGAAGCAGGTGAAGAATCACATTCATTGCTTCCCCCAGCATCAGAATCCTCCAAACACTGCTTTATTCTGTTCGTTAGGATGTCTTTTCTCTGAGTCAGCTCTTGTTGCCTCTCCAGAAGCTCCTGAATTTGAATGTCTACTGCATGTAGCTCGCTGTTCACTGAATCCAATTCCTCAGTTAGAGCTATGAGGGAGGAAAAAAAATAAGATGACAAGACAGTCATTACAATTTTAAGTTTCCCTAATAATTTTTTAATATTCCTCACCATCAAAATCACAGACAAGCTTATAAATCCTGCAGTATGGTTAAGAACATTGTTTTGGATTCACACAGACCTGACTTAACTAGGAAATCTCAGGTCCTCCTCTTACCTGCTGAGTGACCTCGGGCAAGGTACTTAACTGAGCCTCAATTTCCCCATCTGTAAAATGGGGATAATACCTAGGTTTCATAGCACTATTGTACAGAATTAAGTGAGATAACATACTAAAGGTTCTTGACACAGTACCTGGTACAAGTTAAGCATTAACAAATGGTACCTATTTTAATTATGTTGTAGGGCAGTGGGCCAACAATCTCCTAAATCAAGTGATCCAACTATAAAGCAAATGCAAGCTATTTAAAAGCAGTCCCCTGATTTCTTAGCTATTATTTCACAAAAAAACATTCACATTTAGGCTCATATAATGGCATGATAAGGATTCAATCATTATAAACAAGATGACATAACAAGTAAAAAAAGAAATCATGTACTATTAAAATTAGCATTACAACTCCATCATTAATTAATTTATAAAACCTTAATGTATTATTCTAATCAAAGTCAAAGTGAGATTTCTTTTGATATCCTATCAATGGAAACTGTAAAAAATTTAAAGATGTTGGTGTGTCCAAACAACTGCCTTAATTATTCAGTGTTCATTTTTAATGCCTTTTCATGAGATAAAGTCTTACGGTTATGATTTAAAATAGGATTTTGTGGTGACTTTGTATTGCACCAACTGCCAGAACTCCCTTCCCTGTAGGATTCTGGGTTAGGATTGGCACAAGTGAACTCTGCGTGAAATCTGGAGGGCGGACAAAAGAGCAGGCAGAGTTACATTCAGGTGGTTGGCATCAGGTCAGATGCTGCTGCAGCTCACTTGTGTCGTCATGCACCTTCTGCCTCACCTTGTTGGCATGGGGCAGAAGCCAGTTCCTCCAGCCCCTGATGAACCTCCCCGGGGCAGTAGCTTGGCCCACAGCTTCTCTGAGTCTTTGACCAACTTCAGGTGCGACTTCCCGTAGCAAGTACACCAGATCTTGGGCGAGGCACCAGCATCCATGAAGTCAGATCCTTGTAGGCAGTGACACACCAACGTGACTCCCAGTGAGAATCAGGAGGGTTCCACAAAGTCCTCGTGGGTTTCAGCTGATCCTCACCCACCCACACTTCAAATCCATCTTCCCGTCCCTAATGCTGGCTCTACTTACTTCAGGTCCAGCAGTGGACTGCTTAAGCAGCTCCAATGACTATGCAGGAACTAGTCCCTATAATAAATCGCTTTATCTGATTGAAATCTAGCCAATACCCAGTGCTTTTCCAGAAGAACAGAAACTTAAGGGTGGGTTCTCTGAATTGCTTCTGGGCCACCTGAAATTGGTCCTCTGATCTGATTAGATTTAAAGATATTGATGTTCCGCCGAAACCGGTTTGGCTCAGTGGATAGAGCGTCGGCCTGTGGACTGAAAAGTCCCAGGTTCGATTCCAGTCAAGGACATGTACCGTGGTTGTGGGCACATCCCCAGTAAGGGGTGTGCAAGAGGCAGCTGATCAATGATTCTCTCTCATCGATGTTTCTAACTCTCTATCCTTCTCTCTTCCTCTCTGTAAAAAATAAAATATATTTAAAGTAAATAAATAAATAAAGATATTGATGTTCTTTGTTTGCAGTGATAAAAGAGGCAATGGTATTCCATGGCATGCAGTAGACAAAGTTATTTAAATTCTAATCAATAGACACCAGTATAATTAAGTATCACACTTATACTGGTGTCTTACTTAAGACTTAGCTGGCCAAGTGTTTCCTGACACAGAACATTTTGGTGAAAATAATGGGACCTGGTTGCTTTGAAGGATGCTAGAGAACTTGTGTAGAAAAATGAAGGGCCTCAAAGTTACCACAAGGTCAAGATTACTGAATACCAACCCTAAATCTTAATCCTGCAGATGGTTGTAATACAGTTTAAATTGAATTCCCAACTTTGCAGGGACTTGTATTAAAGTTAAGGAAAAAGTGTTACCCTGCAACTGGGATGGGAACATCAGGACAGATTCCAATGAAACAGGGGACCTTGAGCATTAAATCTGCCAAGTCTCTTTTGTCCTTCCCTTTCTGAAACAGCTTTCTCCTGCCTGAAATGCCCATAATGGTCTTTCCTGAGGTGGTTGTTTTGCAAAGGATTGGTCATCTCCCTAAGGATCTCCCGCCCACCACCTCTTAGTGCTTCCAGACCCAGGAAGCCCTAGAGGATGAGGTATAAAAGTGCAACCCATGAGAAGACACAAAACACACCAGAGTTGCATTTGCCAATATCTATCACCAGAAACCTAGGGAATAAATATGGGAAGAGATCCTAAGGGTAATAAATCAGGGTGGGTGGGAAATAATCTATACTAATAAAAGGGTAATATGCTAATTAGACTGGACAGTCTTCCGGACATCCATCTGGATGTGCTTCTGGACAAAGCCATGGTGGAGGGAGGGAGCAGTTAGGAGCCAGCGGTCCTGGAATGAGAAAGGGATGTCCAAATGCTGGTTTAGGCCCCATCCTGGCTGCAAGAATCAGACCTAAACAGACAGTCGGACATCCCCTGAGGGGTCCCAGATTGGAGAGGGTGTAGGCTGGGCTGATAGACCCCTTCCTCCATGTACAAATTTCATGCACCAGGCCTCTAGTATTAAATAAAGTTTAACTTATTAGTATGGACTCAGTAAGAAATTCTGGATTTAGTGTGCTACAATAGTGTCCAGGAGTAGCTCTAATAATTTAATTGGTAGCCAGAAACAGGGCCCTGGAGATGAATAAGAAGAAAGTTGGATGAAACAACACAAGTGCAAATTCCAATGAAGTTGAAGGGTCAGAAGTTCCTGGGTATACTATACAGGAGGGGATCCAGAGGCTTAGGGAGATGGGAATGCTAAAGTAGATTATCAGGTAAATTGATCATCTACTCTCTTGCTGTACCCCCAACGGGATCCAGAGGATACTCCCTTCACCAAGGTCATGAGGAATACAGTCTTGAGGGGAGCCTCAGCATCCCTGAAGAACTGTGGAGTGGCTATTCTCTAAGTCAGGATGACAGTGGGGAGTACTGCCTTTCAACTAGACAACATAATCAATGAGAATGATGGATGCTAAGATACAGAGACTAAATGGTGACAATTCATGACCAGTGTTTTTAAGCTCACAGCATGGGAGGGGCCATTCCTCAGAAACAGCTCCTTTTCTAACAATATCACAAACTGAAGTTAACGCTGAAAGGAAAGTGACTTACCACATGGAAGCCATCAGATCCAAAGTAACAAACTACCTGAAGGCAATCTCAAAGAGCCAGTTCAAATATAGTTCGACAAGTGGATAGAACAAGAGAAGAGTTCGATTCTTTGAAAGGAGTACAATATTATGAAAGCAGTTATTTGAAATAAGCATCTCTACTTAAATAAAATTTTTCTATTTCATTGTTCAGTTATTTTAAAGTCATATTCCACTGACAAAGCTGAAGTCTGAAGTAAAATAACATATGCAATCCAAAAATGAGCATGCTGAACTGAGCTGAGGTTCAGTGACATCTCTTAAACCCTCATTTTCAACTCTAAGTAAAGACTGCTTGGGTTAGCATTTAATATAACTTAAATTTTGACCATTTATAATTAACCCTCAGAGTATGAGAGGGAGGCATGAGTCAAAGCCAAAATCTATGTCATTATTTTTTTCATGTTTATATTTAAATAAATTATAAAGTTGAAGCGGGGAGGGGGAAGAGGAAAGGGAAGGAGCATGTCTCATATTTAAGAAAGCCACTTCTAAAAAAAAAAGAAAGAAAGCCACTTCTTCAAAGTTAGAAAAAACTAATACACAATACTCCTGCCACCATCTCTTAACCGAATAAAGAGCAAGGTATCACTACAAAGCACAGTAGAATCTGGTCAAGTTTACAGAAACAAATAATGGATAGACATATATCAAAATACCAAGCATATCTGCCTGGAAAAGGTAAAACAAATGTTTTTCTTTTATATTTTAAAGACATCTGAAATTACTCCACTTATAGGAATGTACTTTAAAGAAATAATCAGAGGAGCGCACAAAGCTTTCAATTCATGGATGTTCAAGACAGCATTTTTTTATGTTTTAAAAATGAAAACAATAAAAAAGTTCAACAATGAAAGGAATATTATTTATTTAATGTCACTTCAAAACAAAAGAATACAGTGCAAGTGTTAGGATATTTACAACATAGAATTTATTTAATAATGTGTCTATATTCTATATTTGCATTATGTTTTTTAAATCACATTACAAAACAATATGTACCAAATGTTTAAAAATTTTAATAATAAACTAATTGTTACAGCATAAGATTAGAAGTGATTGGTATTTTCCACTTTTCAATTTTTAGGTTCCAAAAATTATATCAGAAAACATATATTTTCCTTGCAACCCCTATGTATTGCAGGTGTGAATATAAAATGGTGCGGCCACTATGAAAAACAGTATGGCAAGTTACTAAAAAAAAAAATAAAAAAAATCACCTTGTCATCTAGCAATTCCATTTCTGGGTATAAAGCCAAACAGCTGAAAGCAGGGACTCAGATATTTATACACCAATGTCCATAGCAGGATTGTTCACTATTGGCCAAAAGATGCAACCAGCCAAATGTCCAGGGACAGACAAATGGATAAATTAAAGATGTTATAAAAATACAATGGAATATTATTCAGCCTTAAAAAGATACGTTACAAAATAGATGAACCTCAAAGACATTGTGCTGAGTGAAATAATCTAGACACAAAAGGAGTAGTATTATATGATTCCAGTTAAATGAAGAGCCTAGAACAATCAAATTCCTAGACAAAAAAAAAAAAAAAATTAAAAAAAAATGGGACAGTGTTACCAGGGGTTGCAAGAAAGGAGGAAATCAGGAGTTACTGTTTAGTTGGATACAGAGCTTCAGTTTGGGAAGATGAAAAAGTCCGGGAGATGAATACTGGTGATGGATACACAACAATGTGAGGCACTTAATGCCATTGACTTGTACACTTAAAAAAGTTAAAAGGCTCACTGGTTAGAGTGTCAGACCTCAGACCAAACCCTTGTCGGGTCGCATGTAGGAGGCAACCAATTGATGTGTCTCTCTCACACTGATGTTTCTCTCTCTTTCTGCCTCCTCCCTCCCTTCCACTTTCGCTCTGAAAAACCAATTGAAAAAATATCCTCAGAGGAGGATTAAAAAAAAAAAAAAGTTTGGCATGGTCCAGTTGGTTGGAGCATCATCCCATATACCAAAAGGTGATGTGTCCAATTCAAGATCAGGTTGTGGGCTTGATCCCCAGTCAGGGCGTACATGAGACAATCGATGTTTCTCTCTCTCCTTCTCCCTTCCTATGTCTCTAGACTCAATGAAAATCATATATTTAGGTGAGAATTAAAAAAAAAAAAATGGTAAAAATGGTAAATTTTGTAATGTATACTTACCATAATTTTTAAAAATCTGAAAAAAACACAAACAGGCCAGCAGGTGTTGCTCAGTGGTTAGTTAGCATCAACCCATGAACCAGGAGATCACTGTTCAATTCCCAGTCAGGTTGTAGGCTCAATCCCCAGTGGGGGGTGTGCAGGACACAGTCAATTAATGTTCTCTCCCATCATTGATGTTTATCTCTCTAATTTTCCCCTCCTCTCTCTGAAATCAATATTTAAAAACACACACACCTTTTTTAATCTAAAAATACAGCATTTCTAGAATCAACAATTTCTTAAATTTTTTATTTATTGATTGACTTTAGAAAGAGGGGGAAGGGAGAGATGGAGAAGGAAAGAGAGAGAAACAGACTTGTTGTTCCACTTATTAAAGAATTCATTAGTTGATTCCTACATGTGCTCTGACCAGGGATGAACCCATAACCTTGGCATATTGGGACAATGCTCTAACTGGCCTGGGCTATAATCAGAATTTTTTAAACAAATATATTTTAAATTTATTGTATTTATTTATTTTTATTAAGACTTTTATTTAGAGCAGTTTAAGCTTCACAGCAAAGTTGAAGTGAAGATACAGAGAAAAGCAAGTATTTTTTTCAAGGAACATACAAGTAGAAAAAGAACAGAATGAAAAACAAAATGTAAATATTTCCACTAACCTGAAACAGATGCCATTCTAACACTGAATTAGAGATCCAAATTTCTTTCTAAAAGTGAGAAAAAAAAACAGCAACATTTTTTTAAAAGAGTACTACTGATTATGCTCAATCAATGATATTCTGACACAACTAAGCACAATAAAAAGTTAGAAAGTAACACTTGCGTAAGGACCCTTTAAATAAGAATTACATGGTTCTTACACGCTAATTTTTATGGAAAATTCTCTATTTTTTGGAGAAATATCCAAAGTCACATACACATCCTAAATAATAAAAGGCTAATATGCAAATCAACCGGTGGAATGACTGGTCACTATGACGGACACTGACCACCAGGGGGCAGATGCTCAATGCAGGAGGCACCCCCCTGGTGGTCAGTGCACTCCCACTGGGGGAGCGCTGCTCAGCCAGAAGCCAGGCACATGGCTGGCGAGAGCAGTGGTGGTGGCAGAAGCCTCTCCTGCCTCTGCTGCAGTGCTAAGGATATCCTACTGATGGCTTAGGCCCACTCCCTGCACAAACTTTGTGCACCAGGCCTCTAGTATATAATAAGTACAAGGTAAAACATCAAGAATCACCAGATACAAAGCGATGTAACAAAAAAGAGCAAATATTTGAGATTTAATAGTTATAGTACTAAACCACAGTGTGATTTTAGCAAAATTACACACCCTGTTCCTCTCAGTTCCTTTCCCTATTTGTAAAATTGGGATAGAACCTATCATAAACATAACAAGTTGGATAGATTCAAATGTCCCAGGTTAAGCAAAATCTATCAACATAAACACCCAAATTAATCACTTAACATTTTACTGAATACTTGCTTTAAAGACTTACAATTTAGGCTCAATCTTAAGAAAGAATTTGGCCTTCTATGGTGGGGAGTTCATAAATTTCAGAAAAGAACCTGAAAAGCTCAGAAGTAGGAAAAACAACAACAACAAGATGGTTTGTATGAGGGAATTCTAAATACCTATGAATGACTAGAACATAAGAAAGAGTACATATGGGCAAGGGGAAGGAGATGTGGCTTGAGAGTGGGAACTTTAGGTTGTCCAAGAACACCTCCCCTATCTCTAATATGGACAATCAACATTTTCTAAAAGTAACTTAGAATGTTCCCAAAGGTTACTTCAGCATGACTCCACCTTACACAGAATGCTGACCTTATGCCCTTCCTGACACAGAATTCAGAAACCACCACTAGGCTGTAAAGATAGGCAGGATCATCTTCACCTTGCTGAGATTATAACCTGTTGAAGTAGGAGGGTAAACCAAAGATTTTTAATTCTTTATCTATATAAACACCTCTTGTGGAAACATAACTTTCTTCCCTAGAGTGCAAGATTTTCCCGCAGGGCAGGGGGTGAGTCTCTTCCCTTTGTATTCACATAGCCTAGCAAAGTGCCTTGCATATAGTTCAGGCTCAAGTTTGCTGAGCGGGAAAGCAGAAACTATTTCTCTACTCTTAGGAAAGAATATGTTCTATAACACCTATCTCCCCCCCACCCCACCCCCCCACACACACACAATTTTAAAACAAATTCCCGCCATTTCTTTGATTATATTGTCACACAAAAAAACTCCCACTCATAAATTCCTTCCTCAAATGATGTGACTTAATATTAAAAGATGCCTCAATATGTTCAGAAATGAATGAGCTACAACAGGTCTGTCAGTCAGAAGTATAGCTAGGCAATGTTAAAACCACAAAGTCTAGCCTTGAAAACTACCTGAGCATAAAAAAAAAAAAAGTTTTGTCACTCAAGCAAAGCTTAATTTAGCTTACTTTGTATCACTAACTTAACCTGGGTCATTTCTCATTTAGCCTCTGGAAATGTAACCGTTTCCCAAGGTTGATATGGGGTAACCACTAACCAAATTCCCTATCAATTAAGAAAACGTTAATACTACCGGTATAGCCAATCACTGTGAAGATAAGCAGCCACTACCTTCTCACACTATGCAAGCTGTTTTAACCATACACCCCTGAGCCTCATTACATGTTTTGGTTGGAGTGCTGCTGCCTGTTAGCGAACTGTTTTTTAGTCAACAGTCAGCTTTCACTCCTTCCATGACTCATTGGTTTCACTTCTGATGCTTCTGAGTTTTTTTGACAGCACCCACTGGAAATCTTTTACCGTGTCACACCCAGTCATCGATGCTGGAGGAAATGCCACGGAGGTACCACCGGTTCCATCAGACACACACCCATTCCCCCTCTCTGCGCCACCTGCGTTTACAAGACAGCAGCAATATAATAACACCCTAACGGTGTTCCCAATGATCGATGGCTTCCAATCAACAGGCGCTGGTGACCGAGCTTCCGTCCGGCACGGAAAAGGACGGCGATAACATGATCGTGTCCTAAAGGCCTGAATTTCTCCCCTCGTTTCTCCCCTGCCGATGTGGAAGGAAGCCATCCCTCATGGACTGACCACGCCTTTAGGCAGGAAAAGGGAAACATTAAGCCCTTTCAACACGTAACCGGAGAAACAGTTCAAGAACCCCGCACCCGGGCCTTCCAGACCGCCCCAGGGCTCCGACCCCAAAGCGCCCCGAACTCCCGAACTCAGAACCACCGCTCACCAGCCAACAAGTTCCCGCCACCCGGCTTGCTTTGCACGCCGGGCGGGAACCTCCACCCTTCCGGGTCGGCCCGTCCCACCAATGGCAGGCACGGCCCGTCTCTCATTGGCCGGGGGGCGTGGCCGCCTGCGCGTCACCGAACAAGACCCCACATCATTGGCTGATTTCGGGATCGGCTTGAGCCAATCGGAAGCCGCCTCCTCGCTGGGACGGGGGGAATGGCTGCGTGTTTCCGGAAGACGTGGCGGCTGTCTCTTGGGCTGTTTCCCGGCTTCACACTCGCGTCTTCGCTTCACGCCCCGGGCTTCTCGAGGAGCGGTCCTCACCCCAGCCGGGACCCCAGCAGCCATGATTTCCTTAACGGACACCCAGAGTAAGCGCGGGCCCCGGGGGCCCCACACACCCTCTGCCGGGGCGGGGGCGGGGGCCCTCCCGCCGGTTTCCCCCTTCCACCCTCCCACCCCACCCCACCCGGGTGCGGGGAAATGAATGAAGCTCCGCGATGGGAGCGGCGGCCGGCGGAACGGAGCTGGGGCTGCGGGAGCCGGCGGGCGGCGGGGAAGGGGCGAGGCTGGACCTGCGGGGCGGACCTGGCCTGGGAGGGTATGCGCGGCGGCGGCGGCGGCGGCGGGGTCCGGGGAGACGCCCGGGCCTGGGGAGGGGGAGCCCGGCGGAGGGTCTGGCTCGCGCGGCTCTCTCGCCCCCAGGGAGCCGGGCGCTTTGTTCCCGCGGACCGTCCGCCTCGAGAGAAAGTTTGCTGTGGCGCCCGCGGCCCACTCTCGAGGACGTTTCTCTGGACTTGACTGTCGTGGGGTCGTCCTCCTCTGCAAGTTCACTGGGGGGCGGAATTTTAACTGCCACCCGCGGTAGGCTCCTTTTGAAAAGATGCCCACACTTCAGTATGTGGAGGATGTGTGCCTCTTTGCCGGCAATGGAAAACGACCTTCCAAAAGCCCCTTGAAATGACTTCATTTTTTTTTTTTCCTACCAGCTAATTGCTTCCCCACTAGTCAAATGTCACTTGGCGTTCATTAAAGGATTTCTTTTGTTAATATTGTATATTTGTGCTTTGTGGCTTGTTTGGTTATTTTTAGCATATCTTTCTGCCAGCCTCGGAGTTCTTCAGGTCTCTGTCTTCTCTCTAAGGTTGGCAATACTGTGTGTTCCTTTTTCTTTCAATATAGCATCTCCACTTTGCTACTTTTTACCAATCTTAATCATTTTTTATTTACATTATCTGCCCAACCCTATGCTATCTGTTTTTGTTTGTTTGTTTGTTTGTTTGTTTGTTTTGGATGGTTGAGGTTGTCTTTTTGTCTCATTTTGCTTAAGCAGCCACGCCTTTTATTTCTTATTCTGGTTAACATAATTGGATGTTCAAGATTTTAAGAACTAAACCGTCTGTTGAAGTGAAGATAATACTTCATCTTAAGTGCCCTATTTTAAAATGGAGAATTAAGGTTTGGATTCACGCCATAGCGCACTTGAACTTGACAGAGCTCCTAAGGTCCTACACTCCCATTGCACGCCAGTCAGGCTGCCTTCCTGAGATGGGACCAGTCTGCACCTTAGAGCCACCTGCCCTGGTCCAGGAAGAGTGCTCATCTTAGTCATTTGGCCTCATGTGTTCTGATCAGAGAAAACCTAAGTATAGCTCTTTAAAAAAAAAAAAATTAGCAATATGTGCTTTCATATAAATCATTACAGGTAATTCCTAAGAGCTTTATAAAGTAAAGAGAAATCTTATCTTTTTTATAAATTAAAGGAGACAAAAGAAATGTAATGTAATCTAGAAACAAGACTTGATCCCAGCTCTGCTGGCTTAAAAACCTTTGTTCTTTTTACTGTACCCTACTAGCATATAAAAGACGATATAAACTTTGAGATCTTAGAATGATGAAATTCTTCCATAGCAAAAGTAGTTTCAACAGTAATATAAATACTTATCTTACAGAATCATTCATTTTTTTGGAGAAATTTTGTAGGATATTATTAAGGCCTATTTTCTTTATGAAACACAGTGTCCCATTCCTCTTGATTAAAATCCAAAATGAAAATTAGGTTGCCCAAGGAAATTAGCAGAATTATGTACATTAATTGCTAGAGTTTACTTCTAATTCTGATTACTTGGAGGAAGTACTTAAACTCTACATAAGCTTTTCTATCTAATTATAAAGCACTAGAGACCAGGTACACAAAATTTGTGTGGGGGATGGGGGGTCCCCGCAGCCCAACCTGCACCTTCTCCAATCTGGGACCCCTCAAGGGATATCCGCCTACCCGGGCAGTCAGACCTCTCACAATCTAGGACTGCTGTCTCCCAATCGCTCTCCTGCCTGCCTTCCTGATTGCCCCTAACTGCTCCCCTGCCAGCCCGATTGCCCCTAACTGCCCTCCCCTGCCAGCCTGGTCACCCCTGTCTTCCCT